GCCACCATGCCCAGCCAATTTTTTGTAGTTTTAGTAGAGACGGGGTTTCACCATGTTGACCAGGATGGTCTCGATCTCTTGACCTCGTGATCCACCCGCCTCGGCCTCCCAAAGTGCTGGGATTACAGGCTTGAGCCACAGCGCCCGGCCATGACTAACATTTAAAGTAACACTCTGACATCCAAGTGAGCCTAAATTGGGGGCACAGAGGAATGGAAGCTGGGTGACCAGTTCAGAAGCTACAGGCAAGAGTGCATGTCTGTCAGTGCCAGGCAGCCCAGTGGTACCAGCCCAGGAGCACAGGCTGGGATATTAAAACAAGTATATGTTGCCTCTACCCTCAAAGCATAACCAGTTGTGTGTGTGTGAGTGCTGGGGGCCAGCTAGCAGATGATCAGGGAGAACCCCCTCCATCTAGTAGTCAAAAGCCATGGATGCTAGCAGAGCTCACTCAGTGAAGACATATTCTATCAAAAACACATACAGCACCTCTGTTGAGAAATACCCTACACATAATTAAATACATGTTCTTCCTTTTTCCCTTAACATCTTACTATAGCATTTCCCTAAACTATAAACACTCCTTTCTTCAATAAACACTCTTGTGTATACACCTTTGCCTACATTTCTCTTTTACCCATCTAACAATAAAAACACACATAACACCCATTATTCAGCCCGTTAACAAGACTGTGAAGTACATGAAAGACCCAGGTTAGGATAAGAGCAAAGTGAGGTTCAGAGAGGGTCAGCACTTCTGCATCGCAATCATTCTAACTGGATCATGCAGCCTCAGAGTGCGGAGCCACCATGAGTGTTCTCTCCATTCTTCCCAAGCATCTTCCAAGCAAGGGATGATCCAAGTGTTTGGTGGTGACCTAGAATGGGCCAGCCCCCAAGCACCTTTTGGAGTTCAGTCGAGTCATCTCAGACCCATGGCTGATTAAAACCTTAAAATGAAGAACCGTGAAGACTCAACCCAGATTCTGGATTCTCAAAAATTAAAGATTCCCAGACTTCAGAGCCTGGGACTCAGGGAACTCTAAAGCTATGAAATCACACACTTTCAGAACTAGAAGGGACCCAGCGTGGTGGTCCTCAGCTTACAGGTCATGGAAATGAGGCGCAAAGGGCCAAGTCCAGTGGCTTCCTCTTTGCCTAGTTAAGCCATCCTCCCTTCTTCTCTCCCGCCTCCCTCTCCCTCCCCTCCTTCATCTTCCCGCCACTCCCACACCCCCTCACGGTCTTCGGTGAGCATTCCCCAGCCGGTTATCCAACAGGACACATTACTGGGCAGCTGCATGTTCCAGGATGGGAGGCAGATGGGGACAATGTAGGAAGTGAAGTTCACAGGCGGGTGCAGCTGCAACATGGCAATGTCACTCCCAAAGGGGTGGAGCTTCTCAAAGTCTGGGTGGGTGATGATCCGGTACACAGATATCTTCCGGGTGTGCTGGGTTTCATGATACAGTTGGGTGTTTCCCAACAGAACCTGATAGTTCTCCAGGGCCTGGGATTTGCTGGAGGAGGAAAGCCCCATTTTTACCATCCTCTAGGAGTGCAGAGCAGCACCTTCTCTTGCATCCACGTGTAACTGCCCACATACCTCTGGGTCCTTCTCCCCTGACATGATTCCAGACAGCTTTGTATCCCCCTTTCTGACAGTCAGGAGCCCTCTTTTTTTTTTTGAGACTGAGTTTCACTCTTGTTGCCCAGGCTGGAGTGCAATGGCACGATCTCGGCTCATAGCAAACTCCGCCTCCCAGGTTCAAGTGATTCTCCTGCCTCAGCCTCCCAAGTAGCTGGGATTACAGGCATGCGCCACCACGCCCAGCTAATTTTTTGTATTTTTAGTAGAGACGGGGTTTCTCCATGTTGGTCAGGCTGGTCTTGAACTCCCAATCTCAGGTGATGGGCCCGCCTCAGCCTCCCAAAGTGCTGGGATTACAGGTGTGAGCCACCGTGCCCTGCCATGGACCTCTTCTTTTTTTGAGGCTAATGGATAGTCTACTCACAACCTCAGGACATATGGCTTCCCCAGCACACCCTTGAATCAGAGGAGCAGAGAATCCTAGGGCCAGAAAAGTCCTGGACAGAGTCATCAAATCAAGCCCTTTTATTTTACATAAGAGGAGCTCTGGCTTAATTCCGGCTCCAGCCTGACCTTTCTGAAGGCTGCCTATGACCCGCTTCCTGGCCTAACCACCTTTCCTGCCCTCTCTCAGGGTGTCTTTCCCACTGTTGTAAGCACTCATACAGTATTTGTTCAATGCCCGGATGAATGCATGAAACTGAAGCTCTCCTTGTTCCTGAACACAACTGACGAAACTTCTGACCTTTGTCACTTTGTTCACATGGGTCAGCCACCAGGAAAGCCCTGGCCACACTCCCCATACCAAAACCTCCCCTTCTGGGAAGCCCCTGCGGCTCCTCATCCTCCCTCAGGGCTGCGGCATCTCTCCGGACGCCCCTGCCTCGAGTCAGCTCTTGTCACCCACTCTGCGCTTTCCCTCCTACATCCTGCTTGTTGGAGCTTGTGTCTCACCTTCCCATAGAGACACCTTCACTTGGGGTCTTGCCACACCCTATGCCATAGAGGGTCTTGTGTGGTGTGGCACAAAGGAGATGCCCACAGCGCCCAGTTGGAGTCCCAAAGCCACTAAGTGCCCAAGCTGACTCCCTACCTGGACTGTGATACCTTCCTCTCCCTCTGGGTCCCTCCAACTGTTCAGAAGCTGGGCACTGAGTCAGGTTCAGGAGGGCCAGAGGAGTTGCACCCGGCTGTCCATGTCACTCTACTCTTCCCACCTGTGCAGCCTGGCACAGCTCCTCCAGGCATAGAGTTTTACAGAAAAAAAGAATCGCCTGGCCGCTGGCTACATGCAGAGTCCCCAGTCCCTGCTGGAGTCTGACTCACAGGAGAGTGTGGACACTGAGGAAAAGCCCTGCTGGTGGCCGAGACAGGCGCTGCCAATGCTCTCAGGCACGGCTGGGCTGAGCAGACAGACACAGGGGCCAGGGACCCCCCTGCCAGAGCTCAAGATGGAGGATCAGGAGGGTCTGGGCAGATGGAGGAAGCACTGGGTGGAGAGTGGGGAGGACAGTCCTGGTAGAGGGGACCGCGGGCCGAAGGCAGGCACCACATTAGTTTGGTGGCAGCAGACTTCCCCAGAGCAAAGCCCAGAGGAGAAAGACAGAACCCACCCCAGCCTCGTCCCTTGCATCTTTCTCCCCACCAGCCCCTCTGCTGGGGGCCCAGGGAAGGAGGACTCACTTGAGAAAGCAATGGGCAGTTGACAGCAGCCAGCGGGAGTCAATGAGGACAGCTCCGCAGAGGTGTGAGCCCCGGTAGAGAAGGCTGGCCTGCCATGGCCACTGGCCAGCCGCTGCGTCCTGGCCACCATAGATCTTCCCCACCACCTGAGGCTTCCCACACACTGTAGAGACACCCCCGTCCACCTGTTAGAGACACTAGTTGTGCCCATGAATGCCACCCCAGTGAGGCCTCTGCTCTCTTCACAAATGGGAAAACCAAGGCCAAAGAATAGGTGACCTGGCCAAAATGACCGAAGGCTACCACAGCATCTGCCTTCTATGGCCACTACCAGGACCAGATGACAGAGCACAATTGAGCAGGCTCTGTGGGAATGAGGGCCCAGGGGTCTGGCGGGAGGGGCAAGGCTGACCCAGTGTGGTCACAGCAGCTTATCCTTAACCAGGCCTGCCGAGGACGGGTGGACTGGAACCCAGCCCTGGGACTTTATTTCCCCACCAGAACACTGTATGCCCTCTCCACCCCACCCCAGTAGCCCAGGGAGAGAGACCTGCAGGCAGAAGTCTGTTGTGCTGTGTGACTTGGGAAAACTTGCTCCCCCTATCTGATTCCTGATGTTTTATTTTATTTTATTTTTTATTTTTTTTTTTGAGACGGAGTTTCGCTCTTGTTACCCAGGTTGAAGTGCAATGGCGCAATCTCGGCTCACCGCAACCTCCACCTCCTGGGTTCAGGCAATTCTCCTGCCTCAACCTCCTGAGTAGCTGGGATTATAGGCATGCGCCACCATGCCCAGCTAATGTTTTTTGTATTTTTAGTAGAGACGGGGTTTCACCATGTTGACCAGGATGGTCTCGATCTCTTGACCTCGTGATCCACCCGCCTCGGCCTCCCAAAGTGCTGGGATTACAGGCTTGAGCCACCGCGCCCGGCCTGATGTTTTATTTTTTAAAGGTGAGGGTTGGGGCTGCTACGGTCAACGTTGGTTCTGAGACTCCTGCCTGGGAGGCGGAGCTGTGAGCCTGGGCTCCTGAGAGGCAGTGCCCTGGTCCCTGGCCTGTGCTTCCAGGCCTCAGTAAGTGGACATGAGGCCCCAGGGCCCATCCCATTCTCCGCGCGCAGCAGTCCTGGTGCTCTCCCTTCACCCAGCCCCAGCGCCAGGCCCCGGCACCCCCATCCAGTTCCGTGGGCACCACACCCAGTCCTGGGACCGAGAGTGGGCAGCCTGACCCCCTGACCAACTGTGCCTGATGCCGTCTCTGGGGCCACCTGGTTGGGAGCAGAGGGGAAAGACACAACGGATTCGGGTGACTTCCGGCCCTAGGCACCAGGCCCAGAGCCCCGCCTCCTACCCACCGCCTGTGGCCGCAGTTCCCCCATGTCTCCCTGACGCTGCTCACCCCACCTGGTCTTGCCGAGACCTCGACCCCCTGCCCCTGTGGCCCAGGGGCCCGCTCAAATGCTCCCTGCGCCCTGCCCTCTGCCTCCGAGGTCCGCTCGGCCCCACGCCCTCTGCTTCAAACGGACCTTGAGTTCTGACTGCGGGCTCCCGGCCCTCCTGCACCCCCGGGCTCTCTCTGGCCTCCCCCGGAGCCTGCGAGGGACTAGGGGCGCGGGACTGCGGGGCAGGGGCGGCCTTTGGGCTCAGAAGCAGCAGCAGCAGCAGCAGAGACCAGAGCAGGGGGCCCGGCTGGCCTCCGGTCCGCATTGCCCCCACACACATCGCCTGACGCCAGGACAGGAGAAAGGAGAACTGGAGCCGACCCCGACCCCGCCCTGACAAGGGCGAAACAGGCGATGACTCCCGGCCCTGACCCCTGGGAAACAGGTCATGACCTCGCCCTGACCCCAGCCCCAGACAGGCGCTGTACCCAGTCCCTAACCCCGTCACGAGACAGCCCCTAACCCCGTCACGAGACAGCCCCTAACCCCAGCCCCTGACCCCGCCCATGCCCAGCCCCAGCCCCCTGACCCCGCCCATGCCCAACCCCTGACCCTACCCCCTGCCCTGACCCCTCCCATGTCCAGCCCCTGACCCTGCCCTGTCCCTGCCCCTGACAGGTTCTGAACAGATGTGGCAGCCAAATTAATGAGGAAACAAAAGGAGACTTAAGCTTAGAAAAATGATAAAGGATATGAAAAGGTAATTCATGGAAACAGGAATTAAAAGACCCATACTTTGGTTCCTGAGCAAAGTAATGCTTAATCAATCACTCATGGTTAACTCTGTCTCTTAACACAGCTGCTAAAAGTAGATCCTGTATTCCCTCAGCCAGAGCCCTGTCTCCTTTTTCTGATTTTATTTGGATCGTCTCTTTTTTTTTTTCTTAATCTGGCTAAAGGTTTGTAGATTTTATTTTTCTTTTCAAAAATCCAACTTTTCATTTTTGTGATCTTGTATATTTTTTTGGTCTCAATTTTATTTCTGCTCTGATCTTTCTTTTCTTCTACTAATTTTGGGTGTGGTTTGCTCTTTACTTCTCTAGCTATTTGACAGAGTCTCACTCTGTCACCCAGCCTGTAGTGGCACGATCTCAGCTTACTGCAACCTCTACCTCCCAGGTTCAAGTGATCCTCCCACCTCAGCTTCCCAAGGAGCTGAGACTATAGGTGTGCACCACCATGGCTGGCTAATTTTCATAGAGATGGGGTTTCACCATGCTGCCCAGGCTGGTCTCAAACTCCTGAGTTCAAGCAATTCAGCCCAACCTTGGCCTCCCAAAGCTTTGGGATCACAGGCATGAACCACCAGCCCCGGCCACACTTTTCTAGTTCTTTAAGATGTTAAGTTTTTCTACTCTTTTGATGTAAGCATTTATTGCAATAAACTTTTCTCTTAGTACTCCTTTTGTTGTATGCCATAGGTTTTGTTCCGTTGTGTTTTCATTTTCATTTGTTTCAAGAAATTTTGTAATTTTCTTCTTAATTTCTTCATTGACCAGGGGCATGTTGTCAAATTTCTATGTGTTTCTATACTTTTTCTTTTTTTTTTTTTAGATGAGTCTCCCTCTGTTGTCCAGGATGGGGTGCAGTGGGATGATCTTGGCCATGATCAAGCCACTGCACTCCAGCCTGGACCCTGTCTTAAAAAAAAAAAAAAAAAAGTCGGGCGTGGTGATTCATGCCTGTAATCACAGCAATTTGGGAGGCCAAGGTGGGTGGATCACGACGTCAGGAGTTCGAGAGCAGCCTGGCCAACATGGTGAAACCCTGTCTCTACTAAAATACAAAAATTAGCCTGCTGTGGTGGCACGTGTCTGTAATCCCAGCTACTCAGGAGGCTGAGGCAGAAGAATCACTTGAAACCGGAAGGTGGAGGTTGCAGTGAGCCAAGACTGTGTCACTGCACTCCAGCCTGGGCAACAATGCCATACTTCATCTCAAAAAAAAAAAAAAAAAAAAAAAAGGAACAGCAACATCAATTAGTCTAGCTGGAGATATTGGAAATCTCTCAGATCTTTTCTAGGGATGTATCTTTTCTGGATTTGTCTGTGTAATTTCCTCAAGAGGTTTGCCCATTTCTTTTTAAGGACCTCATAATTTCTTGCTCCCCTTGTTATCTGTTTATGATACCAGACCCTACAGTGCTGTAACAAGGCTACGGCTCTCACATTTGTTCTAGCAGCCCCTAATCGTCCAAAGTTTAACACTGTTCCTGTCAGTGCTGTGAGTCACATGAACAGAAATCAGTCCCTCAGGCAGCACCACTGTAAGCCAGAGCATGGGACATACATTCCACTCTACTCTTTCCCTCTTGAGAAAGAAGGTGCAAGTGGGTGCTTTCTCCAGATTGTGCCGCACTGTGCTTGGTACTGGGAGAACCTATGGTATGCAAATGTAATAGACTTTCTCACCTGCTTCAAATCAGCTCTTCTTGCTTTTACATTCACCGGGGGAACTGCAACTTTTTAACTGATTTCTGAAAAATCCCCACAAAGGCAATTTGGTCCCTATATTGTTAAGTGTCTTTATGAGAGAATGAGGGCCTGGGGCTTATTATTATTTTATGTTATTTTTGAGACGGAATCTTGTCCTGTGCAGTGGCGTGACCTCAGCTCACTGCAACCTCCACCTCCCAGGCTCAAGCGATTCTCCTGCTTCAGCCTCCTGAGTACCTGGAATTACACACACCCTCATGCTGGGCTAATCTTTGTATTTTTAGTAGAGATGGGGTTTCACCATGTTGGGCATGCTGGTCTCAAACTCCTGACTTCATGATCTCCCCACCTCGGCCTCCCAAAGCATTGGGATTGCAGGCATGAGCCACCCACCATGCCCAGCAGGGCTTAGTATTAATATTTTCCCGTCTCGCTGATGTCACTCACCATTGTTTTTTGATCACTTTATTTTCTGGTACTACAAGATGTTCCAGATTCGTCTTGTACATTCCCAGCTCCAGCTCTAGAATCAGCCATTTTCTCCAGAGAAACCTAGTTCCATTCATGGGAGAATGGTTTTAGAAACCAAGATCTCAGTGGGGTTACTGTAGCTTGGTAGAATATATTTCCCACCAACTCACTGAGAAAGAGTACATGGGAGATAATTTTGAGATCCAATTTATGTCTGAAAATGCCTTTATTCTATCTTTATACTTGATAATTTGGTTGGGTAGCATTTTAGTTAGAAAACTTTCCCCAAAGAATTGGGAGATTTCTTCTTGCTGTGTTGCTGTTGAGAAATCAAATCCTTACTAAATTGTTCTGTGCTCGCAAAGGTTGAAAAGAAAAATCCTTAATTGCTAATCTTTTGTACATCCCTTTTGCTTTTTTCTTTCTAGAAACTTAGTCTTCTCTTTATGTTCTGAAATTTCTGTTATCTGCCTTGGGAATGAGTCTATTTTCATGCATCGTGCTAGACATTTGAAGGTATCTTTCAATCTGGTTATGTCATTAAGTTCTACAAAATTTGTTTACATTAATTATAATTTTCTGACCTTATTTTTCTTCTTTCTGGACTCCTACATTTTGGATATTGGAACTCCTGGACTCTAACTTATGTACAGTATCTCTTTTCTCCCACCTTATATATTTATTGTTAATCTTTCTAGCATTTGGAAAATTTCAACACTCTTTTCCAATGATTGTTTTTTCATTTCTAGTCTGTCTTATATTAATAGGAACTTTTTTTCTCCTGAGATTTTCATGTTTCGTAGCATCCTATTATTTTATAGATGTAGTATCTTAACATCTCTAACGATATTAACACATTTGGCAGGGGGAATTTTCTTCTCACTGCATCATTTGATCCCTGAAAATTGCTTTTGTTTTCTTTTGGTTTTGGACTACAGGCTTTCGTTAGATCTCTGGTAATTCTAGATGGGAGTCTCATGAATAAGAGTTAGGGCCTAAAACACTGACCTGAGTATGAGTGGGATTTCTCAACTTTGAAGTTAATTGCTGGAGTGAGCCCTTTTCCCCTGCAATACTTGGTGTCAATCTTATATTCCTTTGATATAGTGGACAGTATATATAAAGCTAGTACAGTACTATGTAGAAAGGAATTTGGCCTTGCCCTTGGGATGTTATGCTACATAGGCCTGCCTTTGTTTACCTGGGATCTTGGGTTATAATGAATAGCCTTGAGAATATGATTTATGGCTGGGGTGGGACAAATCTATACAGTCTTACGGTAGTGGGGTACAACACACCAGAAATACCAACAATGTGATTTAGGGTAGAGGTTTTGGGTCATGCACTCTCAGCTGACCTGGAGACTGTGATTAACCACATGGACAATTAATCATGCATATGTAAAGCAGCACCAACAAACACTGGGTTCCAAGGCTTGGGTGAGCTTCCCTGGCTGGCAATACTCTGTGCACACTGTCACACATTGATGCCAGTAGAATAATGCTTTCTGACTCCATGGAGACAGGACAAGAGCTGTGTTTGGTACTTCTGAGCTCTACCCTCTCCTTCTCTTCCTTTGGCTGATTTTGATCTTTTAACATTTCCCTGTAATAACTGTAACCATGAATATAATAGTTTTCTTTGAGTTCTGCAAGTCCTTCCAGCAAATTATCTAACCTGAGGGTTGGTATTAGGAATCCTCCAGACTTGTAAGTACTCGTCTTCCATTCAGTCTGACTTCTACGAGTCACTTTTCACCCTCCAGATGCCAGCTATGGTGGGGATAAAGCGAGTTTCTTAGCAATGTAGAAATGGGAGACGCCATAATGTTCCCAGTATTCATGCCATCTTCCCTCTTTCTGTACCTCTTCTACCCTTCATCCCAGAGGTAAATGGGGCTGTGAATTCTGTGTTTATTAGTTTCTCCATTTAGAACTGGGGTTTCTTGGGTCTACCAAGTTAGTTAGCAGTTTATCTGCTTTTGAATTCCCCAAATTCTGGTTGTTTCCTCTATTTTCTCCAACCTAAGGGTTTTTGTGTGAATGCAGCAGATTCTGTAGCAGCCATAAAGATATACCACTCAGATCTCCCTTCCAAAGAATCTGATGTGAGGACTGTAATTGGTACTTTCAGGTCCATCAAGGCATTTGCGCCAAAGGCATGCTCCCCTTGGCCTCCTCCCAGACACTGACTGGGAGGCACAAAGCCAGGCTATTTCTGCCCAACTCTGAACTCAACTAAAAGGAATCCTTGCCTGGGAACTCTCCATTGGCCTGACCAAGATTTCATCTCAGAGTTGCACTGCAGTCTGTTTTTGCTAATCAATCCTCGTTTTCTCTTTTTACAGTGTCAGATCTACACCACAGTCTGAGGCTCTCTCAACCTACACTTGGTCCATCTGTTTGTCCTTCATTTATGTTTCCTCTAATAAACTCTTGCACATCTAATTTTGTCATGTCACCTGCTTCTTTGAGGACTCAAATTATCATCCACAATTTTGGAAAGGTTTTATCAGATGTTTAGTCCGCTGTCTTAATACAGAAACCACCATGATGTTTTTATGTTCTTCAAAGATTATACATTTCAAGTTTCATTTAACTGTGGAAGAATGAATTACTTTCAACATTTTTATATCTGAGTTTATTGTTCTGATTTACTGAAACTTAAAATATTCTATCAAATTACCCAGGAAAATCCAGGTGGCAGAAATATATAATATGTCCATTTCATCAAGAGGTCTCAAATAAATTTTAAAAGGCCAAAAAATGATATATATGCTATACCATTTAAATTGCTTCTACCTTCTGTACTTAAGAACTCAAGTATAGAAATAAACTGTGGTGCTGCTCCCAACATGACTGCATAGGTGTCTAAGGTTAAGTGTGAAGATTACTGTGAGGTCTCAAGTTACTTGACTGATCAATTCCATTTGAATTTCAATCCAAGCAGCATATTTTACATGCACCTGAAGGAAATATCTTCAGTGTGTTCACGTGTGTGTCTATGTGCACGTATGTATGGGGATGGGTGTAAGTAGGGAAAGGCCGACTGAACACTGAAAATAAGTGCATGCTAAAAGTCTGCTGTTGTTGGTAATACAGAAACATACACAGTCTTCATATTCAAAGTCTTCATGGGGATGTCTTCTGTAATTTCTAGAACGAAAAGAAAAAGTTGAAATAAAAATCAGTATTTTACCTATTGTGGGTGAATATTTTAAAAAATGTTAATTGCTTGTGTAGTAAGGAATTTGGCCCTATCCTAAGAGTCCTGCCCTTTGTCCTAGCTCCTGAGGGGAATCTCTAAATCCTTGTAATTTCCTAGTAGGAGAGTCTTTGTTTCTCATGGTGGGCATGTTCACCAAACCTGACAGTTGTTGCTAATGAGATGATTCATGGTAGTGCTGGCTAAGACAGAAAGACCAAGTATATGATTTAGAATGGGGACTTTGGGTCACATGGTATTAGCTGAGAAAGGCAGCAATTACACCTGCAGAATGAAACCTCAATAGAAACTGGACAGCAAGGTTCAAGTGAGCTTCCCTGGCTGGTAATATAGTCCCTGTGTTGTCAGATGTAAGGGATGGGAGAAGGAAACATTATCCATGACTCCAGGGAGAGATGATGACCTGGTGATCCTTGTTTGAATCCCTCCTAGATTCTGATCAATCAATCAATCAATCAATCCAATCATCAATCCTACTGAATTGCCTAGTAAAGGCAATCAGATGACCATTGCCTAAGAAATTCACTTATGGAGCATACATATATATGTAGATGTGCTTTCTCTCTCTCTCACTGGTTCTAATGTGTATCCTTTCCCTATAGTAAATGAAACCATGAGTATAATACCTTTCAGTGAGTCTGAGTCCTCCTAGCAGGTTACTGAACATGAGGGTGGTGTAGGAAAACCCCTGGAACTTGCAGTTGGTGCCAGAAGTGATGGGGGTTTTGTGTGGATTCTTTCCTGAGTTCACAGTAGAGGCCTAACTCCCTGCAGGTGGAGTTAGATTTTGGACAGACTGTTGGAGCCTTCTGGAGGACTATGCCATTACTTCACAGTCTGGCTAACTCTGGGTACTACACCAAGATGATTATTTTTCCTCATAAACAGATACTTCCTGTGTCTACAAAAAAGGCCTAAAAGCTGTGCCAACTCAGTGTCCCAGACATGTGGTTTCAAAATACGATTCTCTATAATTTGAAGAACAGCTATTTTCTAGGTTTGGAGAAGTAAGAGTACACATAATAAGCTGCAGACATGTTGTTATGTGAGAAAGCAAGAATTTACCAAAGACAACGGATCATGTTAAAGAATATAGGATTCAATACGATGAATGATGAAAACTCTTAGCATCCAAAATTATAACACAAGTGTAATTGATTAAAATGTATTGAATATACAACTCAAAAAGAAAAAAAATTAAAGTTATCCATCTACTGTGGAACATTTTGCTTCCTGTCAGTTCTTAATTTAAACAGGTGAACTTTCTTTACAAATAGCTCGTCAGGCAGGGAGCGGTGGCTCACACCTATAATCCTAGCACTTTGGGAGGCCGAGGCGGGCAGACCACCTGAGGTCGAGAGTTCAAGACCAGCCTGACCAAAATGAAGAAACCCCATCTCTACTAAAAATACAAAATTAGCCGAGCATGGTGGCATGTGCCTGTAATACTGTACTCAGGAGGCTGAGGCAGGAGAATTGCTTGAATTGAACCCAGGAGGTGGAGGTCACGGTGACCTCAGATTACGTGATTGTACTGGGCAACAAGAATGAAACTCAGTCTCAAAAAAAAAAGCTCTTATCCTAGCAGGTAATCCTAGATGTGAAAATACTCTTAAAGCTACTTCCTTAATAATTACAAGACCTGGAGATGATGTTTAGGGTTTAGTGGAGCATGCAAGAAGACATCTACAAGTTTCTTCTTCTTGGTGGGAGACAGAACCTTGCTCTGTCACCCAGGCTGGAGTATAATGGCATGATGTCATCTGACTGCCACCTCTGCCTCCTGGGTTCAAGTGACTCTTCTGCCCCAGTCTCCTGAATAGCTGTGATTACAGGTGCCTGCCACCGTGTTTGGCTAATTTTTGTATTTTTTTTTTTTTTTTTTTTTGAGACGGAGTTTCGCTCTTATTACCCAGGCTGGAGTGCAATGGCGCGATCTCGGCTCACCGCAACCTCCGCCTCCCAGGTTCAGGCAATTCTCCTGCCCCAGCCTCCTGAGTAGCTGGGATTACAGGCACGCACCACCATGCCCAGCTAATGTTTTTGTATTTTTAGTAGAGACGGGGTTTCACCATGTTGACCAGGATGGTCTCGATCTCTTGACCTTGTGATCCACCCGCCTCGGCCTCCCAAAGTGCTGGGATTACAGGCTTGAGCCACCGCGCCCGGCTAATTTTTGTATTTTTAGTAGAGACGAGGTTTTGCCAAGTTGGCCAGGCTGGTCAGGAACTCCTGACCTCAAGCGATCACCTGCCTCGGCCTCCCAAAGTGCTGGGATTAAAGGCATGAGTCACTGTGCCCAGCCACATCTTGGAGTTTCTAAAATGGTCAATATTTTGTGGCTCTTCTAATTTACTAAGTTATTGATACTTTATGAAAGACAATTCTGAGAGAAAAAGCATAATGAAAAGGAAGCTACAGATAACAGATTGGAAAGATACTAAATTAGAAAAAGTCCCGACTATGCGATAATGTTAGGTAAATCACTAAATCTTTAAAAGCTGTCAGCTGGGTGTCATGGCTCATGCCTGCAATCCTAGCACTTTGGGAGGCTGAGGCGGGCCAATCACCTGAGGTTAGGAGTTCAAGACCAGCCTGGCCAACATGGTGGAACCCTATCTCTACTAAAAATAAAAAAATTAGCTAGGCCTGGTGGCGGGCACCTGTAATCTCAGTTACTCGGGAGGCTGAGACAGAAGAATCGCTTGAACCCAAGAGGTGGAAGTTGCAGTGAGCTGAGATCGTGCCACTGCACTACAGCCTGGGCAACGAAGAGTGAAACTCTGTCTCAAAAAAACAAAGAGCTCTCACCTACTAAACTTTTGCCTAGCTAACATCACAGAATAAACAGAATGCAGGAAGGCACCATAGCTAAAACTAGTTATGTGAACTGCAGGTAGTATTATAAATACATAATTCACATAGACACGATTCTACCCTGACCAGCTTCAATCATGCCACTGCATTTATTTGCACAGAACAAGAGAGAGATAAATGTCATCTTCAGCTCCACTGCACAACTTGGTGACCAATGGATTTCAGGGAGAAGAAAAGAGTTAAGAATGTCACTAAAGTTTTATATAAGCTTATCAAAATAGGAAGCTACATTTATAGATGATCTTTACTACCATACCACAATGAAAGAGCCAATTGTGTTGGAAGGAGAGTGAAAAAAGCCTTTGACAGAGTGAAAGAATCAGGGGCAGAATCAGAAAGACAGGGAAGGCCCAGAACAGGAAGGATCTTGCGTGGAAGTGAAGATTCTGAAGTGTAAGAGAATGGGAGCACTGGGGGCTCTAAACAGGGGAACAACATCAAGGCAGGAATGTTCATGAAGTGTACAGTCTGCAGACTGGTGACTTTCATGGATGATGAGGACCTAAACTAGATGAGAGGGAAAAAGACAAAGGAGAGTCACTAAAAGTAAACCCAGGTAGGGAAGGAGAAACCTATGCAGAAATAAAGCTTTAGTGTTTAACATTATGACAGGAAATTTAAAAGTATGATATGCAACCAAATTTAAAAAAATAGCTGGACAGAAAGAAATTGGGAGAATTTCACAGAGGCCAAAAATAATGACCCCATGGGGTCTGGTGGCTTAATGCTTTTGGCTCTAAGGAGCTCTAAAAGCAGGGAAAGAAAAGCCTCTGGTCTATACAACCTGGGAAGTCCAACAAAACTCTGCTGAAGAAACTGGAACTTCAAATAAGAAACCTGGAGCAAAAGGGTTAATTTGAGTAAGTTCCTTCACCATAGCGAAAAAGTGAAGATAATGTAATGGGTTAATAATGGCCTTCCAAAGATATGCCCAGGTTGTAAATTCCCAGGATCTGTGAATGTAACTTTATATGGAAAAAGAGGAAACAGACAGTGGAGGAGGCAAAGTGATCACGGAGCCAGAGACTAAAGTGATGCAGCCACAAGTCAAGGGATGCTGGGCACCTCCAGCAGCTGGAAGAAGTAAATAAGGAATTTTCCCATAGAGCCTTCAGAGAGACTACAGCCTTGCCGACACCCTAATTTCAAATGTCTGGCCTCCAGAGCTGTAAGAGAATAAACCTGTTGACCTGAGCCACCCCATTTGTGAAAATTAGTTGCAGCAGTCACAGAAACCAATACAGAAAGAATCACCTCACTTAGCTTTGTTTTGGAGTAGGGATAGACAGATTCTGTATCCATTACAACTCCTGGCCTTTGTGTATGACTAAAGTCATAGCTTTTTTTTTTGAGACAGAGTTTCACTTGTTGCCCAGGCTGGAAAGCAGTGGTGCAATCTCAGCTCACTGCAACCTCCGCCTCCCAGGTTCAAGCGATTCTCCTGCCTCAGCCTTCCAAGTAGCTGGGATTATAGGCATCCAACACCATGCCCAGTTAATTTTAGTAGAGATGGGGTTTCACCATACAGGCCAGGCTGATCTCCTAACCTCAGGTGATTGTCCCGCCTCAGCCTCTCAAAGTGCTGGGATTATAGGTGTGAGCCACCGCGTCTGGCGAGTCACAGTTTTCTTAACTATGGTCCAAAATAATTGAGTTTAAAGTGGGTCTGGGTTTACAGTGTCTCCAAGGAACTAGACATATGCTTCTTAAAACTGGGCTTCAAGAGAAACATAGAAAACAAGCAGAGCAAATAGGCAATGTAAAAAGAAAGACGGAAACTCTAAGAAAGAATACAATGGACCGGGTGCAGTGGCTCACACCTGTAATCCCAATATTTTGGGAGGCCAAGGTGGGTGGATCACCTGGGGGCAGGAGTTTGAGACCAGTCTGGGCAACACGGTGAAACCCTGTCTCTACTAAAAATACAAAAATGAGCTGAGCATGGTGGTGAGTGCCTGTATTCCCAGCTACTCAGGAGGCTGTGGCAGGAGAATCACTTGAACCCAGGAGGCAGCAGAGGTTGCAGTGAGCCGAGAATGTGCCACTGCACTTCAGCCTGGGAGACAGAACAAGATTCCGCCTCAAGAAAAAAAAGAAAAAAGAAAATTATATTATGGTAAATTTCTGGGGAAGGAATAACAAAAAAGAATAACAATAGTACCATCTTACACATTATGCTACAAATGGTTAATGGCATCAAAATCTACTTTCAACAAAAATAAAAAACTTACGGTCCATAATCCCCTTACCTTGCGTTTGGGTCTCATTCAGAAATAGCTTTAGCTTCCTGCTCCGAAGGCCAAACACCTTGGCTGCTTCATATAGAAGACCTTGGTGGGTGAGTCCATTCTGCCCAAGTGGGTTTTCAAGCAGGAGAGTACCCACTGTCCCCATTAAACACTCTATGGAAGAAAGAACAAACTGGATTAAATCTCGAGTTCACCTTCTAACTCCAACACAGGCGGCCACAGTGGACAGCTCTAACAGGCAGTGCTGAGACCAGCAGTGGATCCAGAAGCATGAGTGCGACGGCGGGAGATGCAGTCCTTGCAGAAACAGCCTTGAAGATTTCATAGAGGTGAAGGGGAAGGGGAAAAAGAAAAAAAAAAACCACCTTATATAAAAGCCCAGAAGCTTGGGGAACAGACACTTAGTACACAGTCAAGTGAAGAACCTGCTGAAGACTTCAGTGCAAATGTGCACAATGTAGACCCTAAACAATCAGGAAAAAAAATTGCTAAAATCTAGTCTGTTAACTCAGACACGGAGGTACACAAGTTTTCAGAACATTTTCCCCCAGAAAGTAAAATGAGAAATTAAAATGTTTTGGCACTTAAACAATTTAGTTGTAATTTTTGCCTAACCAATTTTTTCATTTTCTTTCTTTCTTTTTTTTTTTGAGACGGAATCTCACTCTTGTTACCCAGGCTGGAGTGCAATGGCGCGATCTCGGCTCACCGCAACCTCCGCCTCCTGGGTTCAGGCAATTCTTCTGCCTCAGCCTCCTGAGTAGCTGAGACTACAGGTGCACGCCACCATGCCTAGCTGATTTTTGTATTTTTAGTAGAGACGGGGTTTCACCATGTTGACCAGGATGGTCTCGATCTCTTGACCTCGTGATCCACCCGCCTCGGCCTCCCAAAGTGCTGGGATTACAGGCTTGAGCCACCGTAATGGTTTTTCATTCTCTAACCATGCCAGATAGTTGAGGGTCTCTATGTAAACACACCAAAAGAAGAGTCTGCGGGTGCTCCCTAAAGCAGCATGGGAGCCCACACTTGAAAGCAATACTTTGAAGCCGACTAGAAACATGCACATATATACAGAACCTTAATGCCCAGCACCCCACACTCTGCCTGCTGTGAGGAGGCACATACCTTGTGGCTCTGCATTCAGGAGCTGCAGGTTGACATACTGACAAAGAAGAGTGCCAGAACTGTTGATCAGAGAGGGAGCCGATCCTGCAGTCACACAAAGTGTTTTTCCACTAAGACTCAGTAAGTCGGTTTGGTTTTGTATTTCTAAAAAGTAACAACGACAACAATTCTTTCAGGGTTAATGACAGTTAAAAACTGAAGTCATTTAATTTTTCCCATTTAACTATTAAACTAACATGTATCCTTTTACAACGATGCTTTCCACTTAATTTCTGTTTATCAAAAGATATTGCCTTTTCTATAAAACCAGCCTTTAATGACATGTAATGGTAAGAAATCTTAATGTTGCAGAATAAACATCATTAACATTCATAATCTGAAATACAGGGCAAATTGTTTTTTCTATTTTAGTATTTTCCCTTTATAATACAGCTCCTCTTACAATTTCCTCCTATATCAGAATCTCAAGCTTCACCATGAAAAGCTTATATTAAAAAGTGATAATTATAGTCAGATGATATTTGACTCAGGAACAGACGTGGAAACAAGCAGGATGCACAGAACACATGCAGTATAATCTCGTTTAGAGAACACTACACGTTGCTTGGGGATGCAGGCACAGGCAGCTGACTGGTAATGGCTGTGATACAGGACAGACTCCAACTACTGAGCGAAAATGGCAGGTATGAAACTAGGCTGGGGCATTTGCTCAAGGAACGAGGAACTTGCTGCACCAGTGGCTAGATGCTCACGCTCAGCCTAGGCCCACATGGTCTCTTCTCTCAACCACAGGTGTGGCCTTGTAGGAAGTCTTCCAGGACTGGCTGACAGAAAGAAAACATTTTAGGGCTTGCTGTGTAGGGCTTTACCGCACAACACGCTGTGCCATCTGAAGTAGAAAATTACAGTCTTACAGCCCTGTTCTCACTGTGGGTAGCCCTGAAGGATAGCGATGGGTGGAAATCCTCCCAATGGGAACAACTTCATTCAGTGCAGCTGGCTGGTCATTTTGCTCAGAAGGAGAAATAGCTAGGAGTAGATCTACACTGATTTGTGGATACTGGCCAAAAGCTGGACTAAATGAGAACAGCCAGGGGCTCAAAGAACAGAATTAGAAAACCGGTGACATGGAAGTTAGGGCAAGAGGTATATGTGGACAGATCTCTACAAATGGGCAGACTATGAATGAGCATCTAAAAATGAGTGGGGCTGGGCACAGTGTCTCACACCTTTAATGCTAGCACTCTGGGAGGCAGAAAGGGGAGGATTGCTTGAGGCCAGGAGATTGACAGCAGCCTGGGCAACACAGCAAGACCTCCTCTCATAAAAAAGAGAAGAATTAGCCAGGCATGGTGGTGTGTATCTGTAGTCCTGGCTACTTTGGAGGCTGAGGCGGGAGGACTGCTGGAGCCCAGAAGTTTGAAGTTACACTGGGCGATGATCGAGCCACTGTACTCCAGCTTGAGCGACAGAGTGAGACCCTGTCTTGAAAAAAGAAAAAGAAAAAAAAATCAGTGGATATGACCTATTCAGTCACTAGCCACTTCTGCCCTTATCCAGTGGACTGATGAACAAAGGGCCACCAGGTTGGGAGGATGAATGACCATGGGCTCAGCAACATTACTTCCACTCCCCAAGGCTGATTTTGCTGCAGCTGCTACTGCATATTCCACTTACCAACAGCAGGAACCATTACTGAGCTTTCAATATAGTGTTACTGCCAGGAAAGAGGAGCCAGACCTCTGATGGCAGCCTGTTTGTACTGGACCGTTTGCATCATGGGAAAAGGCAGTGCTTTCGTCTTACTGGAATACACACTCCCTTTGGACAAGAATTTGCCACTGTCACCCATAACCCAAACCCACCATCCATGAACATAGAGAATGTCTCATTTGCTCAATTTGTTCCTTGAGCAAATGCCCCAGCCTAACATTGCTTCTAACCAGAAAACTCATTTTTTAGCAAACAAGTGTGGTATTATGTATTAATATATATTAGTCAATTCTTATTTTTCCACTCTCTTATTTCCTTACCATATAGCAAAATATTTTAACAGGTTAATCTTTATCTCAGTAAAGTTAAAGAACAGAAAAGGGAGGAGGTATGACTAAAGAAAAATCAACATTACCCAAAGGATAAGGTAACTTCCCATCTTGTTTTGGGTAATGAGGCTGGCATCTTTGAAGTTGTACAAGAAAGAGTTAAAAGCATGATTTTTAATGTATTAGGGTCTTTACTTGGAAGTTAAATATGGTTTAAAGAGCTATGTATAGATGTCAAGATCACAATGGGGTGAACTATGGTGGTTTCATCCTGTGTCAGTGCAGCTAAGCTATAACTGCTTCTCAGGTTCTCTCTCTGGCCTGGTTCTGGGTAACAGCTTAATCACAGAGAAATCTGCATAGGATTTAGAAGGCCGAAGTTTATTAATAGTCATTATGCTCACAGGCTAATAGTGGGCCTGGCACTGCTTTCTTAGGTTGCTGTGGATCTGCCGACTTGTTGGGTTAAGTGGGACAGTGCCCAGCCCACGTTCCTGCCTCTACTCTTCCAGCTTCCAGGCCAGGAATGTGTGCAACTCTCTGGCAAAGTGTACCAGCAGTTTCTTCTGTAAGACACCTGCCTGTCAGTGTCAGATGTGGTTAGACAGATGTGCACTCCAGCCTGTTTTTGCTTTTCTCTACTTCTTATCCTACAGCGACTTCAGGCAGAGATCTAGCTTTCTGCTGACTTACCCACCACCTTGGTGGAACCTGGTTAGAGATTTTTCTCAGACATCCACTTGCTATCTTTTTGTAGGGCTTTACTCAGTTTCTCTCACATTGCTTTTGCGTCTCCTGGCCCAACTTTAATGGATACAATAGCAAACAGTTTTCCAGTGGCTCCAACAATTCATAAGCCAGCAGTCAATGAGAGTTCCTATTATGTAATATCCCTGACAACATGTGATTCTGCCAGATTCTTCTAGTTTTTGCCAATCTGGTGGCAGTTAATAGTACCTCACTGTGGTACTATCTTGCAAGTTCCTGATTACTATTCAGATGCACCAGTTGTTCCTTAGTTGGCCATTTGCATTTCTTCTTTTATTTTATTTAAAAGTTTCTGGGCCCAGTGTGATGGCTCACGCCTACAATCCCAGCACAATGGGAGGCCAAGGTGGGTGGATCACCTTAGGTCAGGAGTTCAAAGCCAGCCTGACCAATATGGAGAAACCTCGACTCTACTAAAAATACAAAATTAGCCAGGCATGGTGGCGCATGTCTGTATCCCAGCTACTTGGGAGGCTGAGGCAGGAGAATCATTTGAACCTGGGAGGCGGAGGTTGCAGTGAGCCGAGATTGCATCACTGCACTCCGGCCTGGGCAACAGAGAGAGACTGTGTCTCAAATAAATTTTTAAAAAGTTTCTGAAAATAAGCATTCAGATTTGTAAAGTATTAGTTTTCTGAGGCTGTCATAATAAAGTCCCACCAACAGGGGGTGTGTGAGGTGGAAGGAGCCAGGGAATAAAAATAAAAGAAATTTACTATCTCAAAGTTCTTGAGGTCAGAAGTCCGAAAACAGTGTCGTCAGATGTGCCCCGTCAGAAACCTGTAGGCAAATCTTTTTTTTGCCTCTTTCGAGCTTCTGGAGGCTCCTGACAATCTTTACTGTTTCTTGGCTTGTAGCTGTAACTCCAATCTCTGCCTTTGTCACCACAGGGCATTTTCTCTGTGTGTCTCTATGTCTTCACACGGCCATCTTCTTATAAGGACAACAGTCATCCTGGATTAGGGCCCACGCTACTCCAATATGACCTCACCCTAACGAATTACATCTGCAATAATCCTATTTTCAAAGGCCACATACAGAGGTACAAGAGGTTACAACATATCTTTTTTATCAGAGGTCAGAATTCAATACGTAACAGTGGGAGAATGCATCTATAATTCTTTTTTTTTTTTTTTTTTTTTGGTGTTCTTTCTCCTTTGTTTCCTTTCTTTTTTTCTTTATTGCATTTTAGGTTTGGGGTACATGTGAAAATCATGTAAGATTGTTGCATAGGTACACACATGGCAGTGTGATTTGCTGCCTTCCTCCCCATCACCTATATCTGGCATTTCTCCCCATGCTATCTCTCCCTAACTCCCCACCCCCTGCTGTCCCTCCCCTATACATCTATAATTTTTAAAAATGTTTTTCAGGTTTGCTTTATTGAGAATCCAAAGATTCTGGATTTTAGTGAGATCCAGGCATTATGTTTAATAAAGTTAAAACTCATAGTTGGGCATGGTGGCTCACACCTGGAATCTCAGCACTTTGGGAGGCCAAAGCAGGGGGACCGCTTAAGGCCCTAGGTTCAAGACCAGACTTGGCAATATAGTGTGACTTGCTCTCTAAAAGAATTAGCCATGCATGGTGGTGGATGTTGGTAGTCTCAGTTACAAGGCAGGAGGATTACTTGAGCCCAGGAGGTTGAGGCTGCAGTGAGCTATGATTGCATCGCTGTTCTGCAGCATGGGTGACAGAGTGACACCCTGTCTCAAAAACAAAAACAACCTCACAGGGAGGACTCTGAAGCCTGAAGCCCACCAGCAGGTAAACAGGTGAGAGGGGAGGATTAGAGCCATTAAGTGCGGGCTTTTCAGTCACATCACACTGTGAGGAGGCATGAACAGACACTGCAGGCAGGCACTGCTGAAGAGCTGGGCCCTGACTCAAGATTAGCAAAAATGCAAAAGGTATGTAGTACAACTGACAGCGAATTAAGACCTTCACCTCAAGTCAAAACACAGGCTCTTCTCACTTTCCACATACCTGTTTCATTATGGAAGACAGCCAGGTCTGCATTGTTCACACCAAAAACGCTACTGACAACACTCTTCAGTTTTAAAAGGTCCAACCTATTATCACCTTTTGGATTTTCCAGAAGCAATACTCCATCTAAAAAGTCACAAAAATGACATATCAGACAAGTAAAACTAAAAAGAAAATGTTAAATTTGGAGGAAAAAGGATACAAAGGGGTTAATGCCCTAATTTTTTTATTTTTCCCCTAAATATATACTATATATATGTATATCTATCTCCACACTTGGTATGTGTTTTGGCAATCCTTGGTCGATATGGTCCAGGCATAGAACTTGACCAGGCAATCTGTTCTTGTCTTTTTCTAGGTATAAATCTTTGTATTTACGATTCTCATTTTTCATTTTGTGCCAATTGTAAATCCCCACGGCTCAGGTTGGTTAAAAATACTATCTGGCCCCTCATGTCGATTTATTCTGCACCTTAGATTCATGTACAGATATTTATTAATATGTTTGGACATTATGAGTTAATTGTGGAGCCAAATGCATGTAGAGAGATACCACAGGGCCCTTTGCCCAGTTTCCCCCAATGGTGACATTTTACAAAACTACAGTATATATCACAAACAGCATACTGACATTGATGCAATCCACCAATCCTATTCAGATTGCCTCAGTTTTACTTTTACTCATTGGGGCATGTGTACGTGTGGGTATGTTTAGTTCTATGCAACTTTATCACTCGTATAAAATCCTGTACCCATCACCATCATTAAGATACAGAGCAGTTCTGCAGCCACAAGAATCCTTGTGTTGCCTTTTAATATCCACATGCAATTCCCTTCCAGGCCCATTCCCTCCTTAACCCCTGACAAATAAGTCTCCATTTCTATAATTTTATCATTTTAAACATGTTATATAAATGCAATCATAAAGTATGGAATGTTTTTGGACTTTTTTCAGTTGGCATCAATTTCTTTTCTTTTTGAGATGGAGTTTAGCTCTGTCACCCAGGCTGGAGTGTGGTAGCTCGATCTCGACTCACTGCAACCTCTGCCTTCCAGATTCCAGCGATTCTTGTGTCTCAGCCTCCCAAGTAGCTGGGATTACAGGCACCCACCAACACATCTGGCTAATTTTTGCGTTTTTTCAGTAGAGATGGGGTTTCATCATTGTTGGCCAGGCTGATCTCAAACTCCCGACCTTAGCTGGCACCAATTTCTACAGATTAAAGTAAGTTGCTGTGCTAAATGATAGTTGTTCCTTTTTATTATTGCTGTGTTATGTGCTATGATACGGCTGTACAGTTTGTTTAACCATTTATCTGCTGAAGAACATCTGGGTTGTCTACATTTTGGGGCTAATATGAATACAAGTAGTATATACATTCATGTGGCGGTGAACGTTAAGTTTTCAGTTCTCTGGGATAAACACATAGGAGCGCAACTGTTGAGTCATTCAGAAAGCACATATTTAGTTTCCTGAGAATGCCAAACTATCTTCCACAGTGGCCACACTGTTCTATATTCCCACCAGCAATGTATGAGAGGCAGCATTTGGTGCTGTTGCTACTTTTAATTTTAGTCATTCTAAGGTATCTAGTAAGACTGCAATGTGATTTCAACTTGCATTTTCCTAATGGCTAATGACATTAAATACTGTCATGTACATATCTCTATTTTCTAACTTGATTTTTCTTCACTGTTGAGATTTAAGAGATCTTTATATATTCTAGATATGTCCTTTGTCAAATATATTATTTATAAAGATTTTCTCCCAGTCTGTAGCTTTTCATCCTTTTACAGGATGTTCAGAGCAAAACCTAAAGTTTCATTTAGTTCCACATATCACTTCCCTTTTATGGTCAGTGCTTTTTTGTCAAGGCTTTAAAACTCTTTGTTTAATGTTGAAATGAAAAATCTTAAGACTTTTCCAAAAATACTAGTGTGTTTTATATTATAGTACCTGGTACATGGCTACAGTTTTCGAATGAAAGCTATGAAGTCTGCTTGTCTGTGTGTTTGTATATGCCTGTACATGTAGGCATGTCACATATACGTGTTATTTTTCTACTTCCAGATGGCACTGTCAAAAATTAATTCATGAAACATTTATATTTAATTGGTTTAAAGAAAAATAAGCACTTAACATAAATTAAGTATTCTCTCAGCAATATAGAAACTAACAGAAATGATTTTCAAGTTCATGTGACTTGGGTAAGAATATATAATGTAGATATACAACTTTACCAGGGTTTACTATCAAATAAGTTTATGTTACCTCCACTAGATGTTTATGAACAAATGTCCATGTGGATGGCAGTATCCATTACTTTATGTTTACTGAGCACAGCAATAAAACAAAAAATTTCATCTATTTATCTTTTTAGGGTTGTTTTTGTAAAGACTGCTGAACATACACATGCCGTAAAAGCAGCTAACAGAGAAATCACTTGATAGCTAGCTTTGTTTTGTGTTATGTCTACTCAAAAATAGTTCCCCATTGGTAATTGACATCCTTGGGGTTTTGCTAATTTAGATGACTATTCATTGGATATGTAGATATTATCCAAATAAGAGAAAATACTGAAGCATTAATAGGTGAACACAAATTATACTATTAGGAAGCATAAGTTTCTAGTAATTTGATTCATAGATTTGCCAATCTATGGAATGCTGATGTGACAGTTCAAACTAGAGAAAGAGAAATGACTCTACATGTGAGGAAAAGATATGATTTTGGTAAGGTGAACCTATTATGTATGAAGGATGTGTGTTCATTAAGAGAAAAAGACTAATTTTTGTCCTAAAGCAGAATGGCTTGTTTCACAAAAAGAGGAAGAATTTAATCCAAAACAGAATGGATATAAGAGAGCTGTAGTAGGTTTGCGGAAGAGAAATCTTGGAAAAGGAATTTAATGAATTTATAAGTTATCAAAATAATGAGTCTTAATATCAAAAGTCTGATATTTTTTACTAACTTCCCAAAAATCAAACTCTAAATTTAAGTCTTTCTGTCCTTGAGCTAACTTTGGGAGCTTCCACAGGGCCCCTGAAATACCTCAAAACAATTTTCTTTCATCATGAAGAGAAACAATAAATGAGTTACACTTATTTGATTATGTTAGATCTGCATGGGAAGCACTGTCAAATAAGAAATGATGCTTAACCTTCTTTGAGTTCTATTTGTACAGATGTATTACTAATAATGTGTTCCAGGAACTGTGTGAAATTCCTAGAAATCTGACAGGTATAATGTTATCAGTCACAATTCTAGTTACCTTAAAATGCTGTCCACCACAGAAATAACTCAACTTCCTTGTCAACTGCAACATTACTATAGTGAACTCTCATCAGATAGTTGTTTTACTCTGATACTTTCCTGAAAGTTACTGTGAGCAACTACGAATCTGAAGTGTTTCATCTTTGAGAAGACGCAATGGAAAGGACTCTGACAAGCACAGGTTTATGTTAAGATCATACCACTGGACTGGGTAAGAATTCCCAGGACTCTAGTGAAGTAATTAACTAAATCATAATGCTGTCACAATGGCAATGACATTTCAACCTGAGTTTTGGAGGGGACACTCAAACCACAGCAGGATAGAAGAGACATTTTTACTATATTGAATCTTCCAATCCATAAACATGTCCTCCCACTTACTTAGATTTTGTCTGATTTTTTCATCACTATTTTGTAGTTTTTGGTATACAAATCCTAACACATTTTATTAGGAGTGGCATGATCATGGCTCACTGCTGCCTCTATCTCCCAGGCTCAAGTGATCCTCCCACGTCAGCCTCCCAAGCAGCTGAGACTAAAGGTAACCACCACCACACTTGGCTGGTTTTTTATTTCTTGTAGAGATGGGGTCTACATCTCTTTGTTGCCCAGGCTAGTCTTGAACTCCTGGGTTAAAGTAATCCTCCCGCGTAAGCCTTCTAAAGTGCTGGGATTATAAGCATGAACCACCACACCTGGCCTGGCATCTTTTTTTAAGTGACTGTAAATGAAACCATATTTTAAATTTCATTGTCCACTTGTTCACTGCTAGTATAGATTGCTAGTATGAAATAAAAATCATTTTTGTATGTTTATCTTATATCCTGTGACTCTACGTTTTTTTTATAAGCAATATCATTTATATTAATTATGTTGGAAACCCAATTAATGCTTGGACCCAAAGGGTACAGAAAAGGCCAAACTTTTAAAAATAACAGATTTAAAGATGATTTGTAGCTTTCCCTCATAATATGAATGTTTTCAGCAGGATGGTAAATTGCAAAACATATCAAGTCATATTAAGGCAGAGGACCAAGCTGTGGCTGCATTTAAAGTTATTCCTAGGAAAATAAACTTGGCGTTGGGAGCTCTTCTTCCCAGGTATCTGGTCAACTGATCCAGGAATGGGCAGTCCTGGAGTTGGCAGATGGGAGAATAGGCCCTCCCTCTCTTATCATCATGCTGCTGGCCCTCTGTGACTAGAATACTGGCCTTGTTTACATTACTGACGCACACTCGGTGACTATCTCACTGATTCCTTCTACAGGGCCACCTGAGACAGCCAGGATGTTGGCAGTGATGGACCAGCTCAACGTCATACAACATCATTGAAGTTGCACAGCAGTTCAGGGAACCATTTACTGTCTGAGACATCATCACAGGTCTAAATAAACACATAACCACCATGGGAGCAGCTGGCATGGGAAGACCAATATAGCGATCCCAGGTTGCATCTGTTTCAAGAAAAAAAAAAAAAAAAAAAAAAAAGCTCATATTGACTGTAAAACTTTTTTTTTTTTTTTTTTTTTTTTGAGACAGAGTTTCATTCTTGTTGCTAGAGTACGGTGGCACAACCTCGGCTCACTGCAACCTCCGCCTCCCAGGTTCGATTCTCCTGCAGGTGCCCGCCACTATGCCTAATTTTTCGTATTTGTTAGTAGATGGGGTTTCACCATGCTGGCCAGGCTAGGCTGGTCTCAAACTCCTGACCTCAAATGATCTGCCCGCCTCCACTCCCAGAGCGCTGGGATTACAGGCATGAGTCACTGTGCCTGGCCTATTTATTTGGGTGTCTGTATGTAGATTCCTTATGATTTCCCATAGGGGCAGCTTTATTCCTTTATCTGTATGCCTTTTATTTCCTTTTCTTGCCTTGGTCCATTGGCTAGAACTTCCAGTACAATGTCAAATATGAGTTGTGATTGCCTTGTTCCTGATTTTAGGCAGAAAGAATTCAGGCTTTCCCCATTAGGTATAATGGTAGCTATAGGATTTCTGTAAAATGCTGATTTATCCAGTCTACAAAGGTCTCCTCTCTTTCTATTTTTGTGAGGATTTTCATCACGAATGGGTGTTGAATTTCATCAATTGCTTTTTCTGAATCAACTGCTGTAGTCATGTAATCTTTTAGTCTGATAAAATGATAATTACATTGATATTTAAATATTGAATCAGCCTTGCATCCCTGGAATAAATCCCACTTGGTGATGATGCATAATTCTTTGTACATACAGCTCAATTCCACTTAATAATTTATTGATAAGAATTTTACATTTATATTCACAGGGAATATCTGCTTTTTCTTTTTTTTTTTTTTTTGAGATGGAGTCTCGCTGTTGTTGACCTAGGCTGGAGTGCAATGGCATGATCTCGGGCTCACTGCAACCTCCCACTCCTGGGTTCCAGCAATTCTCCTGCTTCAGCCTCCTGAGTAGCTGAGATTATAGGCACCCCCCACCCCACGCCCTGCTAATTTTTGTATTTTTAGTACAGATGAGGTTTCACCATGTTGGTCAGGCTGGTCTTGAACTCCTGACCTCAGGTGATCTACCCGCCTCAGCCTCCCAAAGGGCTGGGATCACAGGTATGAGCCATGGTGCTTGACCTACCATTTGCTTAATACTGTCTTTATCTGGTTTTGATACTGGGGTAATAACCACATAAAACAAATTAACATGTTCCTTCTTCTTATATTTTCTGGATCAATCTGTGTAGAACTGGTGTCAATTCTGGTAATAATTCTCCAGTGAAACTGGGTGTGGAGATTAGCTTAGAGATTTAAAATTACGAATTCAGTCTCCTTAATAATTATAGGGCCATTAAAATGATCTATTTCATATCGTGTGACTTGTAGTAGTTTGTGCTTTTTAGAAACAGGGTTCATTTCAGGCGAGCCACAGTGGCTCACACCTGTAATCCCAACACTTTGGGAGGCCAAGGAGGGCAGATCACTTGAGGCCAGGTGAGACTAGCCTGGCCAACAGGGTGAAACCCCATCTCTACAAAAAATATAAAAATCAACCAGGTACGGTGTCGCACACCTGTAATTCCAGCTACTCGGGAGCTGATGCAAGAGAATTGCTTGAACCCAGGAGGTGGAGGTTGTAGTGAGCCGAGATTGCACCACTCTGCATGCCAGCCTGGGAGACAAAGGGAGACCCTGTCTTAATAAAAAAAAAAAAAAAAAAAAAAAAAATTGGGTCACTTCAAGTTGTTACTTACATAGAGATTTATTCATAGTATTTACGTATCTTTTTGATTTCTGCAGTTTGAATTGATAATTCTTTTTATTCCTGATATGCAACTGTGTCTTCTTTCTCTTTATTAGTCTCACTACAGATTAATTTTGACGAATTTTTTGGTAAGAACCAGATTTTTTTATCATTAATTTTCTCTCATTTTCCTATTTTCAACTGCACTGATTTCTTCTCTTATTTTCATTTCTTTCCTTCTTACTTTGTATTTATTTTTTCCTATCTAGTTTCTTGAGTTAGACCTTATGATTTAAAACCATCTTTCTGAAAGTTTTTAGTGCAACAGATTTCCCTCTCAGGGCTGCTTTAGCCACATGCCACATACTTTGATGTCGTATTTTCCTTTTCACTCAGTTCTATGTTTTTTTCCTCTTGAGACTTCTTCCCTAATAACGGATAATTTAAAAGTATGTTGTTTATTTCTGAGAGTATGGAGATTTTCCTTATATTGTTCTACTAATTAATTGTTTGATTCTACTGTGATCAGACAGCACCGTCTGATTTCAACTCTACTAGTTGGTGGAGGTTAGTTTTATGGCCCAGGTTATAATGTATCTAAGTTCTGTGAGAGCTCAAAAATAATTTATATTCTGCTATTTTTAGGTGAGGTGTTCTAAGTGGTCTATCGATTACTGAAAAAGGTATGCTGAAGTCTCCAACGATAGTTGTGGATTTGTCTATTTCTTCTTTAATGTCTGTATCTTTTTATTTCATGTATTTTGTAGCTCTTTTGTTAGATGTATATAAGTTTAGGATCACTCTGTTTTCTTTGTGTATTGACATGTCTATCATTACTTAATGCCCCTGGTTATTTTCTCTGTTCTGAAGTCTGTTTCATCTAATACAAACATGAACAGTCCTGCTTCTTTTCATTAATGTTTGCATAGTATATATATTTCTAACCTTTTACTTTCAACTCACCAGTACTATTATATATGAAGTTTCTTACAGACAGCATATATTTGGCTAATGTGTTTGTAATAACTCTGCTCATCTTTTGTTTGTTCTTTTTTGTTTGTTTTGTAACACAGACTCTCACTCCGTCACCCATGCTGGAGTGCAGTATTGCCTCACCCCAACCTCCACCTCCTAGGTTCAAGTGATTCTCCTCCCTCAGCCTCCCAAGTAGTTGGGTCTACAGACACCTGCCACCATGCCTGGCTAATTTTTGCATTTTTAGTAGAGGTGGGGTTTCATCATGTTGGCCAGGCTGGTCTCGAACTCCTGGCCTCAGGTGATCTGCCCGTCTCAGCCTCCCAAAGTGCTGGGATTACAGGCATGAGCCACTGCGCCTGGCATACTTGTTCTGATTGTTTTCTCTCCTAGCTTCTTGTGGGTTACTGATATAGTTCGGATGTTTGTCCCCTCCAAATCAATGTTGAAAAGTGGCGCTTAGTAGGAGGTGTTTGGGTCACTGGGGCAGATCCCTCATGAATGGCTTGGTAGCCTTGTTGCAGTAATGAGTTCTCACTCTGTTCATTCATGCGATAGCTGGTTGTTTAAAAGAGCCTGGCTTCTATCTTGCTCCCTCTCTCATCATGTGATACACTTGCTCCCACTTCACCTTCTGTAAAGCAGAGTAAAAGCTTCTTGAGGCCCCCACCAGAAGCAGATGCTGGTGCCATGCTTCTTGTACAGCCTGCAGAGCTGTGAGCCAAATAAACTTTTTTTCTTTACAAAGTATGGAGCCTCAGGTAATCCTTTATAGCAATGAAAAATGGACTAACACAGTTACTTAAACATATTTTAGAATTCCATTTTTTATTTTTCTAGGGTTTTGTATGTATCCTGTGGTACAGTCTTTTCTTACTGGTAACTCCAAGTAGTACCTAATATAAACATAACTTCCTAAGGTTCATTGGTGTCAATATTTTACCAGTTTGTGATAAATGTATAAACATGGTCTCCTTTGTAACTGTCTTAACTATTACTTGTTCAGTAAGTCCTTACTTAATGTTGCTGGTAGGTTCTTGGAAACTGACTTTAAGCAGAATGATCTACTGTATAATAAACCAACTTTACCACAGGAGTTAAGTTCCCATGGCAAACAGTACATCATTTCACTTAAAATTGCAGGACCCAAGAACCCACTGATGATGTTGAAGCCTCAGTGTACATAGAGAACCACATCAAACAATGATACAGTGCTTGTTGCACCCATGAAAGGACTGAAAGTCTATTGAATTACCCTCTATTTTGATTCCCCATTTTTCCTTCCTGGTGTGTCTGGATTCCCCCTTTATTATTTCCTTTCTGTGTTAAGAACTTTCTGTAGCTACTCTTTTAGGACTGGTCCGCTGGCAACAGATTCTTAGTTTTCTTTCATTTGAGAATGTCTTGATTTTTCCCATCATCCTGAAGGATATATCTGATTGATACAGAATTCTTGGTAGACAATACTTATCTTTCAGCACTTGAAAAATGCTGCCTTTTCATTTTCTGGCCTCTGTAGTTCCTAATGATAAAGCCAGTATCATTTGAATTGTTCTTCCCCTCTAAATTAGGTGTTATATCTCTTTCACTGCATATAAGACATTTTTTTGTCTTTGGTTTTCAGAAGTTTGATTATGATATATGTTGATGTGGATTCTTTTGGGTTTACCCTGTTTGGGTTTCACGCATACCTTTACTGACACTGCAGAGGAGGTGCTGGTAGTATGCGGCCTCACTGCTGTCATGCATTTGTGAATGGGAGGGATGCCTTGTTACTGCCCAAAGGGGATAGAAATTCAGGCCTCCCATGTGGCCTCCACTGATACCACTGGGCAGAGGGGCTCATTACTGCCCCACTAGGATGACCCAGCTACCTACTTGGTCTTCTCTGATACCCCTGTGACAGGAGAGAGGTCTTCAGCTTGTCAATGGTGAAGTCCAGGCTCCCTACTTGGCCTTTGTTGGTATGGGTGGTGGTGGGACCATAGTTTTTCTATGGTGTCTGGCTAGAGTACAGCAGTTATTGCCTAAAAATATCTCGGCTCACTGTGACCTCCACCTCCCAGGTTCAAGCAATTCTCATGCCTCAGCCTCCTGGGTAGCTGAGATTACAGGTGCTTGGCACCACACCTGGTTAATTATTGTATTTTTAGTAGAGATGGGGTTTTACCATGTTGGTCAGGCTGGTCTCAAACTCCTGACCTCAAGTAATCTACCTGCCTTGGCCTCCCAAAATGCTGGCATTACAGGCGTGAGCCACCGCACTGGGCCTTTTTTTTTTTTTTTTTTTTAAATTGGGGCAGGGTGTTATCATTTTGGCCAGTTTAGTCTTGAACTCTTGGCCTCAAGTAATCCTCTCACCTCGGCTTCCAAAAGTGGTAGGATTACAGGCATGAGCCACTGCATCTCACCTAGTGAATTCATTTTTATGACAATTAAGAGGAAAAAGTTATCTATTAAATAATTATTCCAATTCCCTTAAAAACATCCAGAAATTTTTTTGGTTATTTTTTCACATCCACAGGTTTGACTAAAAAACAGTCATACAAATCATAGAATTTACTCTTACCTTGTTCACTGCCATTTGCACAAATGTTAAGATTGACATATGCACAAGCAGGACCAGGAAGGGAAGATCCTCTGGTAAGTGTAATTTCCAGTTCGGATCCCTTCAACTGAGCACATGAGAACATATGGCTGAGTAACTGCGGCACCTGACTGCAATGTGTCACACCAACATGTAACACAGTGACTTCTCAATAACAACAAAGGCTGTATACAACTGAAAACATATTCAATCTCATTACTCAAAGAGTCAAAAGCTACAATTTATATCCTATTTTTCTTCTCCTTTTATTCTGGTCTCTTAAAAATATATGCTCACTTAAGAAAAAGTAAAAAAAAATTACATAATAGGCAAAACAGAAAATGAAACTAGACTACAACTCGCCTCACTAAAAAGATAAACAGCCACTGTCACCCCTTCTTGTCTTGTCCTACTTGTCCCATAGAAATAATGAGACAGGAGAAAATAATTAAATAAGTGACTGAGATATATTTTAAATGATCTACTTCTTTCTTTCTTCTTTTTTTTTTTTTGAGACAGGGTCTTGCTCTGTCGCTCAGGCAGTGATGTGATCTTGGCTCATTACAAACCCCACCTCCCATGTTCAAATGATTCTCCTGCCTCAGCATGCCTAGTAGCTGCTATTACAGGCATGAGCCACTGCGTTTGGCCTAAATGATGTACTTGTAAGTTATAAGCCAGTATCTTCCCTACCTTAATATCAGACTTTCATAAGTATATCTAAAATTCCTAGATATAACAACAGAAAATGCTATTGTGATTTTTCTTTTTTGGTATTGTAATTTTATGGAGAACCCACTACCAGAAGAATTAAATGTTTTTCAAGCCAATTGCTGTTTACTTTTACTGATAATTACCAGAATCCACACACTGACTTTGCCAGTTTTGGAAAAACAGGCCCACATAGCCATTTTATTTCTGGGCAAAGCTCATCTACTCTCCTGGCTACCTTCATCAAGAGAACTGTTGTGAGAACAGTTCTGCCTTCTATCCGCCCTCCATCTTTTCTGAGCTTCCTCTCTCTAGCTCAACCCACTACTGTCCAGAGCAATACTTCCAGACTGAGTGCTGTGCCAATCTCTACTGGGGACAGAATATCAACACGTGAATACATGAGGTAAACCTAATCTGAAACCTTTCAGCAGTTCAGTGGAACTCAGCACTCACCTGTGTTTTTTCTTGAATAAGGATTTTATCTGATGGAGGAACTGGATATGGTTTCAAGGGAGCCTTTATGGTGGCAAATATGAACTCTGTGTGGCTTTCAATAATGTTATTCAGATATCTTCCTTCAGATTTCGCGTTGTAATACACTGTGATTTCATCAGTTGGAACCAGATGGCACTGAAAGCACACACATAAAATTTTAAAAGGAAAGTACATTCTATTAATCAGAACTTAAAGAAGGTACTGTTGAACAAGGGCTATGGATCCCATGCTGAATCATCACAGAAGGGCAGTCACCCGTCCCTCTCTGCTGGGTGATCTATGAGACTAACTGCACTGCAGTACAGGATTACCTTGTGTCTTTTCCCCCACTCTTTGGGGATAGGGCATGTTTCTTTTCCTGACACAATCAGTGACTCATGAATGTTGAAACCAAGAAGTAACTCAGGACCCACTTAACAAAGTTCTGAACTGATTCAGAGGTCACAAGCACTCTCTTATCTGCTGGAGCAGCCTCCATAGACCCTGAACCACCTGGGAATCAAGATGTGTGGCAGATGTTACTGCCCTCTGCAGGGCAAGAAATTCCTGATTCTCTCACTGGCAGGGGCTTGGCAGCCCCCTCGTCTCTCCAGGATGAGCTGTGTGTGTGTTTCTCAGTTCTCTAATGAGGAAAAACTGCCCCCACTCTGTCCAGACCCAGGAATCTCCCCTAAGCTAGAAGCCTGTCTATGCTGACTGCAGCTCTGCCTTTCTGCAAAGACACTATCATCTCTGATTACCTTCTGCCCCAGTCACAGGGCCTATATCACAGAAGCCCAATGGAGCTGAAAAAGGATGGGAAAAGGCACAGGCTGGCTCAAAGCTACAGCTTGGGAGTGAACATGTGGGGAGGGGAAGAGGAGTGACTTTCCTGCAGAATACAATCCACTGATCACTACGGTTTGTATTACCTGCCTCTCCTATCTTCCCCCAACAACCAAAATAAAATGCCAAAATAGTAGCTCATTCTTAATTGACAAACTAACCTTTTTGCGAAGTTTCTGTATGCGATTGATGACTTCCCGAGCCATTCCTTCATCCACCATTGACTGGTCAGGAGTGACATCTAAGAGGACCAAAGCCTGTGGGATTGAACAGTGCATACCACACACCATGACAATCAAATAAGGAGAAACACTTCTTCCCAACTCAGCAAAATGCCATTTAAAACTTAATCTGGAGACTCATTAATGCAGCACTATTTGTCCACACAAATGAGCAAAAGCAATAAAATCAATCTAGTTTATTATTCAGGTACTTCTTCAAAACCAGCCAGTCCTCCATCTCTGGAGAAAGGTGTGCAGCTTTTTCTTTTTTTGTAGGGTGCTGCTCACAGGAGATGCCCTGAAACCACCTCTTGAGTCCCCTCACATGACTCTGCTTTTCGGCCATCTAAGAAATAATATCAACTCTTCTAATAAATAAGATCTTCTAATAAATAATCATGAAGCCCTTGGAGCAGCACAGCTTTTCAGGCCACAACAGGTGGATCAAAGGCCTCACAGCAGTAACTCCAAGTGACTTTCTTATACCATGACCCCTGTAATCTTTAGGTTTGTCAGAATGACAAAAGACTAATTCTACAATGAACCACAAAACTTTTTGACTTAATATAAACTGCCACATTTTTGCTAAGGTTAATGTTTCTATCTCATCTATTCTGAAGGTTGTTGATTATAATGCAGCAATATGACACCATCACTTCTGTTACACAGCACATTGCAGAGCAGAATACACTTTACAAAACTTGTAAATTAGGCATCATCTCATTTACCTTTGAGCAAAAAGGGAAGTTAAGAAATGACTCATGCATGCACATCCACTCTAGTCCATGGATTCTGACTTGGGGCCAAAAAAAAAAAAAAAAAAAAAAAAAAAAAAAGAAATGACTCATGGTTGGGTGCAGTGGCCGATGCTTGTAATCCCAGTACTTTGGGAGGCCAAGGCGGGTGGGTCACAAGGTCAGAAGTTCAAGACTATCCTGGCCAAGATGGTGAAACCCCATCTATACCAAAAATTAGCCAGCCACAGTGGCAGGTGCCTGTAATCCCAGCTACTTGGAAGGCTGAGGCAGGAGAATTCCTTGAACCCAGGTGGCAGAGATTGCAGTGAGCTAAGGTTGTGCCATTGCATTCCAGCCTGGGTGATAGAGTTAGACACAGTCTCAAAAAAAAAAAAAAAAAAGAAAAAAAAAATAGAAATGACTCACTTCACAAAGGTATCAGAGGTAATGAAGTAGATGATAAGATCAAAACTCCAGTCAGTGCAGGGCCACCAAGCCCACTACAACATCTAAGCCATGTCAAGAAACTCAGAAGCATCACATGATGACATTTTTGTAAGTGTGGACAACTTTTCAGGCCCCTAACATCTGTTGTAACGAGGAAGAACTGCCCACTATCAAGTGTTTACAAACCTCCTCCCCACCTTCCCTTGCATTCTTTCCCAGCTTCGATATCTCTGACTCCTTGCCACTGTCTGCCCATGGGGAGTTCGGTACACATCTGACTTAAGTGCCTGGGTAAAGGACTGAGGAGGTCGACCTTCCTTTCATGGAGGTGCTGCTCTACCTCCCTCTGCAAATGGTATGCTAAGCACAGATATCCCCAACCCCACACACGAGATCTTACAACTATGCTGACTGGGGATGTCTGGTTAGGACTGCAAAGAATTAGTCTCTCCTCCATCATGGCAAAAAACACTGACAACAGAATCAAAAACAGCCTGTACAGTCTCCTCAGTGAGTATTTCCTGACCACTTTCAGCTCTACACCAATTTTTGGATAGGAGCTCTCTGTGTACTTATGTCTACTAGATAACTTATGAGGTAGAATACTAAGCAATGGCTTAATTTCATGTGACCTTGACTAACACATTCCTTGAAGAGTTCATTTTTTTTTTTTTTTGAGATGGAGTCTCGCTCTGTTGCCCAGGCTAGAGTGCAGTGGTACAATTTCGGCTCACTGCAACCTCCGCCTCCCGGGTTCAAGCGATTCTCCTGCCTCAGCCTCCCAAGTAGCAGGGACTACAGGCACGTGTCACCACACCTGGCTAATTTTTTGTATTTTTAGTACAGGCTGGGTTTCACCATCTTAGCCAGGCTGGTCTCGATCTCCTTACCTCGTGATCTGCCTGCCTTGACCTCCCAAAGTGCTGGAAGTACAGGTGTGAGTCACCGCGCCCAGCATGAAGGGTTCATTTTTGTGCAACCCCACACTTGAGACAATTACATGTAGAAAGCACAAGATGCTTATGTGTTCATTAAACAAATGCATATGTTAAAGGCATAATGATATATTAGTTTAACAAAGCCAATCTAAACCAAGTAACTGGTTTATTTTACCCTGAGACAAGCTGTCAACATTATCAGGAAAGGCACAGGCAAATGCTTTCTCCTCTTATGCTCTCATCTCTTGGTAAAGAAATGTTTCAGGAAACAGAAAAATACCTGAGCATCTGAGTGTGCTTCAAACTGTGCAGTCCCACCTGTGGCCTGATCAAAGGTGTACATGAGGCGGATGTCTTCATCATGCAATTCATGGCCTTCCACAACAATGGTCCCTATGGAGAAGCAGATACACTGTTAATCAGCTTTCCTTCTTCTTCAAGCTGCGCCACTACCCGTGTATTATGCCCCTTCTTCATGAAAATTTCACAACAGCAAAGCCACAGAGGTTTCAAGAGACCATTTCCCTCTGACTCATATCATGGTTGTAGCCAAGATATGACAAACTTTCTTTGGACTACACTACACTACCTTGAAGACAATTAAGTCTTCACCAATATCTAGTTTTATATAAACCCTCGGGTCCACAGACATGACAAGGCTAAGGGAAGGCACCTAGAGGCAACAAATGCTCACCATAAACATAGAGCAGCAGGATGTAATGAAGAAAACACACTCTTTAGAGAGAAAGTGAACTTAGGTCCGCTATTAGCTGGTTGCATGACATGCTGAGCAAGGTGTGGTGAGGCTAAAATGAGACAGGTAGTGTGTGGTACTGAGGATCATGCCTGCTTGGGGAGGCAGAAATATGCACAGCTGCTGACGACAACATCCCTGGTGACAGGGAGGCCCCCTGTTGTCATGGATAATGATTCTTTTGGGCTCTGAGCACTAGGGTGTTATGTTTATGTTTACTTTGTCACTGTGTTCCAAAAAACAATTTTGTTTTCATTAATGCAAAAGTTTACTCAGAAACTAAAATTTAGAAACTGCACTCCAGGCTGAGTGACAGAGTGCAATTACGTCTCAAAAAATAGAAAAGAAAAGAGAAGCATGTGATATTAAAGTCAAACAGTAACCTAAATACAAAATATCCTTCAGCCTTAGGAAATGATCGGTGTGCCCTTGTCTGTGTAGACACCTACCAGTCTTCTGGAACTGCTCCAGCTCCTCACTGCTCAGCTGCTTGATGGACGTCATCACTGCCTTAAACGCTCCCTTCAGACGCTTCCCCAGGACCATGTGATCTGGTTCTGCCCTTAGCCGAATGCCATACTTGTTTTTATCTGTAGACAATGTAACTTTTCGAACATTCAATTCCTACGGTTAGTGCACAAGAGGAAACAAAAATGAAAAATGAAAACATATGTTCACATAAAAACATATGTCCACAGCAACATTATTCCCATCAGCCAGAAAGTAAGAACAGTTCAAATGTCCATCAACAATGAATGGATAAAATAATACCGCAGACACATGCAATGAAATATTTAGCAATATGAAGGACTGAGCACTCATACATGCTACAACATAAATTAATGTAAAACATTATGCTAGCTGAAATATGCCAGACATAAAAATTACAAATTGTACGATTCCATTAATATGAAATGTCCAGAGAAGGCAAACCCAGAGATAGCAAATAGGTTCATGGATGCCGGGAAGTGGTCAGGAATCGAGGGGAAAATGGTGTGTGAATGCTAATGAATCCTGGGTTTCTTTCTGGGATGATGAAAATGTTCTAAAACTGTGGTGATGGTTGTACAATTCTATAAATATGCTTAATAACCAGTGACTTGTATGCTAAGAAAAAATGCTTCTTATGAAGATCTATCAAGACAGTTGAGCATAACAGAAAAAGGACTCCAGAACCAGAAATATAAACTTCATCCCTCAGAGGTAACCTTTGTGCAAGCAATTTCAGAGTACCACAAAGTTAACTATCAACCAAGCAGAAGAATCAGTTAAACAGAAGACTTCATGCTTCAGTCATGCTACTGAGGATTAGTGATGCAGCAGGGATGGTGATGGCACAGTAGATGAGAAAATGAGATCTCATTGAGAACAACAGTTTGAAGCAAATAATATGGAATGTTTAGTTTTGCCATTATATTTAGCTACATTAGTTAACCTCATTTTAAGTGACTGAAGTAATTTATTTAAAATGTTTTCAGCTGGGCACGGTGGTGCACATCTGTAATCCTAGCACTTCAGGAGGCCGAGGTGGAAGGACTGCTTGAGCTCAGGAGTTAGAGACTGGACCGGGTAACATGGTCAAACCCCATCTGTACAAAAGCCTGTACTACTATGCCTAATCTCAGCTATCTGGGAGACAGGGGGGAGGACTGCCCGAGCCCAGGCGATGGAGGCTGTAGTGAGCCAAGATTATATCACTGCATTCCAGCCTGGGTGACAGAATGAGATCCCATCTCAAGAAAAACAAAAAAAGTTTCTATTTTATGCATAACCACAGGTACCATTTTCAGAATTTACAGTCTAATTTTCAGTTTCTAACAGTTCTCTGGAATTCTCAAGCGACTGAAAACCAAATATAGAAATTAATATTTTCTACAATAATGATTTTAAGTATTACCAGCGAAAAGAATAAATGAAATTTAAAAAATTTTTATTTTCTAGCATCACAAAGAAGATGAGGTAAAACATATTTGTTTTTAAAAAATCATGGAATAAAGAGGTTTAGAAAGCCAACTGACACTATAAACTTTGACCCCAAAACTCCACTTCTGGTTATGTACTGAATATCCATACAGTGATATATGCATATATGTACATACATAGCTTTTGTTTGTAATCAGAAACCTAAATTTCAAACAACAGGAGAGTAATTATATAAATTATGAAGCAGTGAGGAACTGAGACTCCAGGAGAGATGGAGTGGAAAGAGGCTCACTATGCTAGTGCCTTGATTATTTATAACCAACACAAGTGCACTTGTCACTTGCATAATTTGGAGAAACAAAGTTTCTTTGGTAGTTATAAAAAAGTACTTCAGAAGGCCAGGCGAAGTGGGGCTCATGCCTGTAATCCCAGCACTTTGGGAGGCCAAGGCGAGCAAATTAGTTGAGATCAGGAGTTTTAAGACCAGACTGGCCAACATGGTGAAACTCCGCCTCTACTAAAAATACAAACGTTAGACGGGTGCGGTGGCAGAGCCTGCAGTCCCAGATACTCGGGAGGCTGAGGCAGGAGAATTGCTTGGACTTAGGAGGTGGAGGTTGTGGTAATGCACCACTGCACTCCAGCCTCGGTGACAGAGTGAGACTCTCACAAAAAAGAAAAAAAAAGAAAAACACTTCAACACAGAAGAGACGCAAATGAAGATGATAGGTGACAGGTTAAAAACTTCATTGATCTTGAAATATTTTTATATCAAGAATTATATCAGGGGGCCGGGCGCGGTGGCTCAAGCCTGTAATCCCAGCACTTTGGGAGGCCGAGGCGGGTGGATCACGAGGTCAAGAGATCGAGACCATCCTGGTCAACATGGTGAAACCCCGTCTCTACTAAAATACAAAAAATCAGCTGGGCATGGTGGTGCGTGCCTGTAATCCCAGCTACTCAGGAGGCTGAGGCAGAATTGCCTGAACCCAGGAGGCGGGAGTGCAAGGGAGCCAAATCCGCTCCCTTCAACCCCAGCCTGGGGAAAAAGAATAAAAACCCCGCTAAAAAAAAAAAAAAAAAAAAAAAAGAATTATATCAAATTTGTGCTGATTCCAAGCACAGTGTAAAATATGATGGATTGTTAAATTTTTTACGAATATACTAATAAAAATAAATTATACAGTCCATATGTACTTTATTGAAGATTATTCATCAAAATAATGTTCTCAAGGGAGGTCTATTTGTACTCAAAACAGACAAATTATCCATCTTACCTCAATGACATACTTCTCCAAAGACTTGATATCTTTAAGAGCTTCTGGATCTTGATGGATAACCACAATTTCTTTCAAAGGATACTAGGAGGAAAAGGGAGGGGAAAGGTCACTCAGCAGCCAGTCTCCTAAACTGCAGAAAAATGAATATTAAATGTTTATTTGAACCTCAAGCTCTAGACTAGTCAGGCTGGACTAGTACTAAGTCATTCACACCCTCACTGCAGAAAAGAAAAAAGGCCATTGCTGGAAGCTCTCTATATTAAGAAAACACCCCAAAGACTTAAATATTTAGGTCGGTGCCATGTAAAATAGAAGTAGAATTTCAAACCTTTATGGGAATAGTTTTGCGGTCTCTGATCACTCGTCCAAGCTCGATCACAGACTGCATCCGAGATATTGCACTCTCTGTTTTCTTATCAATCAATTCTTCTCTGAGTGGTAGAGGAGGAATATGAAAGAGATTAGATTTAAAAGGAAAATTCAAGACATTAGGCATGCTTACGTGAGGAAGAGGGTCAGGCTACAGAAGTGTGGCCAGGCCCTCCTGATGAGGCGCCGGGGGAAGGGCAGTGCAGTGCCCGCCTGGGGGACAGAGAAAGAGGCAGCAGCCTGAGCCTGCCTCAGCACCCGGCACCTCCCCAAGGGGCCCCCATGGGGCATGCCCACACCCCACATGCTGCAGCTCTACAACGGGGTTCCATACCAAGCATCCCTGTTACCATGTACCAATGTGGGCCCCATCGTGCAGCCTGACGAGGGGTTCATGTCAGCTGGCGGCTAGGGTGGGAGGCAGGGCACAGAGGGAGCTGGAACAGGGAAATGCCTCCTCTCCCGCACATGCTTGAGCAACGCTCCCTCCTTGGCAAAGGTGAGGCTTATTTCTATTTGATTCCTACCGAACACGGGGCAGCATGAGGTAGTGGATGCTGAGTGTGTCCTTGTCTTGAACAGAAACAGGGTCAATCAGCACCTTTAGATTCTGGTACATCAATTCGGTGAGAAAAGGCGTGTAGGGAGCCTGTATGAAGACACAGGACATCATGTCAGTCATATGCAGTCACCAACAACTGACCTCATTTTTACTGAGAAACAACTAAACATGTTAGCAACACAGTAATATGCACCGAAATGGGCATGAGGTTATAAAACATGCCCTATGAATGAGAAATGGCCTCACGGCCCTGAAGCATAGCTGCAGGACTGTAGCCAGAAAAGCCCAAAGCATCTCCAGAATTCTGAAGGATGTCTAAAACAGAAACAGGAGCACCTAATGATATATCGGCCAAATCAATATGCACAGAGGACTGACTGTCCCAAACCTCAGAAACCTCATCTGTAAACTGGGAAAACACCCCCTGCCTCACGGGATGAAGGTGGTTAGATCAGGCATGGAGAGGATCGGGCACAGGACCTTGTACAAAGCAGATTTTCCTTCAGTTAAGGAATAAATAGGAGCCTTATAATATACAGAGTAGCAGAAACAGGATAAAAAGCAAGTTGGAAACTTTCCACTTTATTATTATTTAACTAATATTTGAACTAAGAGGAACATATATCAATTACTTGAAAGTTTTCCTCTCAATGCTAAGTCAAAGTATTTTTTACGATATATTTGCTAGGACAGGTATTAGCTAAAGAACTTCCCCATTATTTGCAATGATGCCAATCCATATATTAAGACGAGGTATGTCTTACTTCAAACTGTAGATCCTCCTTCTCGAGCCAAGGGCTCTGACATACACTATACTAACAGAGATTGTAAGAAAAAATCTAGTGTTTCTTAGTCCTTACTTAACATGTATAAGATAATAAGATTTCTGAAAAGAAACTACAGCTATAAGCTGTTATAAAACGTCTATTTCTGTTTTTGGTGGAATAAAAGAGAACAGATATAAGAGGAGGACGCTGCAGCAAGTGGGTACCGAAGGCAGCACACAGGCCAAAGGGTACTAGAGAGAAGCCAACCATCTTACCATAAGTCTGCAAAGAGAGAGCAGAACACTAAACAAGGTTTCTAGGGCCATGACACAATCTTCCATCCCATTTTCACCCTAATGAATAAAAAGGAAACATAAACTGCTAAAATAAGTGTTTATCATAAAAAAAAAGAAGTTGATTAAAAAGAGGCAACCCTCAAACAGCATGCAGCACACAGGACATGAGGCAGAGTAATAAGAAAGGGCCACCACCACAGGCTGTCTAGGGTGGCCCTGCAAGGCAGTGCAGGAAGCCTGGCCAGGATGTGCAGCTGCTGTCCCTCTAACCCCACCTGAGGCGAGCGGATAGGAAAGTAAAGCCTAACTGTAGGACCAAAAGGCTGAGGGCAGAATGGATCTACCCACAACAGACAGAAAGCTGCTAACTGAAAACTTAAAGTGCCTTTATACAAGATATTTTATGTTAAAAAAGTATATACTGTATATTAAAAAAAACTAATTCATTGCAGGAAAAACGAAGATAATGAAAAAATTTCAACCATGAATAAGTTATCCAGAGATAACTACTGTAAACATCTTAGCATATGTTCTAGATATGTGTGTGTAAGATACACCTGCACAAAAACGAAATTATAGTTGTGTTGCAGGGTTTTATTATTAATGCATTTTAAGCCATGACTGGCTGCGTGCGGCGGCTCATGCCTGTAATACCAGTGCTTTGAGAGGCTGAGGTAGGTGGATCACATAAAGTCAGGAGTTCAAGGCCAGCCTAGCCAACATGGTGAAACCTGTCTCTACTAAAAATAAAAAATTAGCTAGGCGTGGTGGCACACACTTGTAATCTCAGCTCACAGGGAGGCTGAGGCAGGAGAATCACTTAAACCCAGGAGGCAGAGGTTGCAGTGAGTCAAGATCCTGCCATTGTACTCCAGCCAGGGTGACAAAAGTGAAAGTCTGTCTCAAAAAAGACACGACTAATGGGTGGTGGGAGCCTTTTCTGGGCCTACGGTAAAGCGACTTCGCTCTCCCTGTTATACATCATTGTTATTTATGTACTTTGCTTAAGTCCTGAGACCAGGACCTATGCTGTGCTCATCCTAAACCCCCAACAGCTACACAGGAGTTTTGTCCACAGCCAAATAACCGACTCCCTTGTGGTAAAAGGAAGGCGGTATCTCTCTCAATATTAAAGCCCTACCTGCCAATATTTTTATAAAATATTTGCATGATTTTATTTAGAATGTGAAGAGGTCTGCTCAGTTTAGTCCTGCTTGTGCCCTGACATTCTCCCTCCAATATATGTACGTAATTGTGTTGCGAAAAAAACATGCAAAATGACTTTTAGAACTTACAGATCCCTATGCCTCAAATGACAAATATAGTTAAAATGCAAGGTAAAAGGAGAAGAAAAGCATAGCTTCAAAAACTGAGAGCATCTGAAAATGTTCCTTTCCCTTTGGGCTATTCTCATATTTCTTCTACTCTCAAACTTCATGTGCATTTTGCTTTTCTCAACGGCGGTCTGCACTTACCTTTAATCTTCTGCGGTTCATTCTAACATACCAATTGGTGAGAATATCTACAAACTTGACAAGGCGAGGCACCACAGTGTAAAGCCTATAAGCTAAAAGTAAGACAAGTCAATCAGGCAGCAAGGGAGTAACAGGCACCTGGGGTGGGGAAAGGGCTGGATACAACAAAGAACGTGCAGCCTCTTCTACCCAAGGGCCCCCACTTACTAAGAACCAAAATGGAGCAATCATGTAACTACCATTTGCTGAGGATGTGCTACATGGCAGTCAAGGTATTTCGAGATGCACACAAAAACCATCCTATGAGCCACATCTGAATTCCCACTGGTCAGTGAAAAAAGCCAAAAACTCCAATATGTGTGGATCAAGGTCCAAGGCTGCCCACTACACAAGTGTAGCAAATACCGTTTACAGGGAGTTGTGCAATTTGACAGCATCAACAATGCCCAACTCCTTTCTATTGTAGTACATTGTACTGCAACTAAAGGACAAAGAAAAAGCTCAAATCAGGTGCTAAAAGGCACAGTATAGGCCAGTGATTCTCAAACAAAAGCAATTTTGCCCTGCGGGGAACATGTGTCAATGTTTTAAGAAACAGTTTGCTTGCCACAACTTGGCGGGTAGCGTGGTGCTACTGGAATCTAATGGGTAGACCCCAGAGATGGTGCTCAACATCTTATAATGCACAGCACAGCCCCACCACAGAGGATAATTTGGCCCAAACTGTCCATAACGCTGCACTTGAGAAACTGGCATATGATACGAATAAAATATAACTTGCTTTCTAAGTATTAAAACAGTCGAGTAAAAACAGCAAAAGAGGTAGTGAAAGTCTTGAGGAATCAGGAGGATTTGAAGGGTTCCCTGAGAAACTCAGAGGTCAGGCAGGAAAGAAAGGGTGTTCAGCCAGTCGTGTCTGAGGCAAGGCTTATTTTAAGGATTCTCATTCACCTCCCCTTTAAATTAATATTCTGTTGCATAAAAACAAGCACCAAAAGAGCAACACTTAGAAACAAACACAGTTTATGATAATGAAAATAATCCAGGGAGTTTTAATGAGGCTGCTGGTCTAAGCTAAAGAGATGAGAAATTGCTACGGGCAGAGCTGCTCTCTGCTGCTGTTTACAAAGACCAGAACTCGGGTGCCAGTGGGCTGAGCCCCAGGCCAGAGTCGTTAGCTGGTCACACTTTCCTCGACCGGTGATTTCAGTGACTGAGCTCTGTCTAAATGATTTCTAGGGTTCACGTCACTTTTTACCTTCCAGGAAGCTAAGGTTTTCTATGTTCTGGTTTCAACTTTGAGTGAGTAAATGAACCCCACATGCAATGAATGAATTTACAACATATGGGGGCAGCGGCAGCAACAGCAGCCACTACCCAGGACACCGCCACCCTGGGAGCCAGGTCCTCTCACACCCACGGTGCTGCTGAGGGAGTGGAGGGCATGAAGATGACAGGCTGGCAGAGCTGGGACTTAAATATGACCCACACGACGTGGCTGCTGATCTCTAGTTTCCAGGCAGATGAGGCTCCAGTCAGGGTGCACACTCTCCAGACCCAGCTTCACCAGGTTATGGCAGCGGCTCCAAGCAACAATCCCCACATTTCCCACCCACTCCTACCACTCAGGAGGGAAAAGCAGACACAGTTGTGAGGAATCTGGGCAGAGGGTGCTGGATTCCCAGTGCTGCCCTCCTCAGGGCAGGAATCAGCCTCACACTCACTTCCATCTTCATCCATGTCCATCTGAGCAACAGCTGGACTGTCATGATACTTCTACATGTTTAACAAGGTGGTCAAATCCTTTAGGGTGACTGGTTAACAGTCTTTTTGTGCTATATGGGGCAGTACTGGCCGCTGCTCTGCCCAACAGCAGCAGGATCTGCAGGGTCCTGTGAGGATGGATTTGCCTTGCCCTCTTTCGTCCTCACTGTGACCCAGGGCCTCTGCCTGCCCACTTTAACTGATTGTCTGAGGTGTCCCAGATGTCTCACTTGGACCTATAGTTCTAACTATCTGAAGCCCTGAGGAACTCAACATAATGTAGTCTTGAATCTCTCTAAAATTACCTAACAAACTTACTGTTGTTAGTTAAGAGAAATATAGCAAAATGTCCATTTCATTATTGTTCTTCTGACTTCTCTAATTTTTCTGGAAAAGATGCGGACAATTCAGTAATAAAAATAGAACTAAAAATAAGTTATAAATGTAATAATAACAAGTATTATTTATTGAGTACCTATTATCTGCCAGCTACTTTATGTAAATCGTCTCTACTTAAGCCTTACAAACACTGCTAGGCATTTTCCAGGTAAAGACACCGAAGGTCAAGACAGAATGAATGAGTAGCATCTGATGGCACAATGGGGTGATTGCAGTCAACATTTAAAAACAACTAAAAGGGTATAACTGGGATGTTTGCAACCCAAAGATACAATAAATGATTGAGGTGATGGATACCACATTTACCCTGATGTGATTATCACACATTGTATGCCTGTCTAAAAATATCTCATATACCCCATAAATATATACATCTATGTACCCATAAAAATTAAAAAAAAAAAAAAAAAAAAAAAAGAAAGAAAGAAACTGATGGTCAGACTTCAGGCAACTCTCTGGATTGGGAACAAGTGGTAGAGCTGGGCTTTGAACCCACAGCTGTCAAGCTCCAAAGGTCTTCTGTGGAGGGTTGAGCTCGCCAAGACACCTCTAATGACAGAATTCCCCAGGGCTGCTGCTGCTTCCCCCCCCCCCCCCCAAAAGATGGAGTTTCACTCTTGTCACCCAGGCAGTGGTGCAATCTCAACTCACTGCAGCCTCTGTGTCCCAGGTTCAAGCGATTCTCCTGCCTCAGCCTCCTGAGTAGCTGGAATTACACGTGCCCACCTCCATGGCAAGCTAATTTTTTCTTTAATATCTTTTTAGTAGAGACAGGGTTTCACCAATGTTTGCCAGGCTAGTCTGGAACTCGCTAACCTCAGGTGATCTACCTGCCTCGGCCTCCCAAAATGTTGGGGATTACAGGTGTGAGCCACCAAGCCAGGTCAGAATTCCCCAGGGCCTTGAAACAAAGACATCCCAACAATGAACAAGCCTTAACAAAACTACATTTGAGAGGTGAAAGGAAGTAATTATTTAATTTTCTGTATCTCTCAATATTTCCACTGTGTTTATAGACAGATACATACCAAAAGGGCAGTTACAAAGATAGTAGTTCTGGGAGGACAGACCAAGAGAGACTCACCTGCCATTTCAGTCTCAAAGAAGCCAATGAGAGACTGCATGAAGGACAGGATCCACTGGTCCGTAATGTTGGGGCTTTTTCTAACTGTGCTCTCATTGTAGAGAAATTCTATTTCTTCTTCCTAGGAATGAACAATTAATGAAACACTTGCACAGTGGGGGAAGCTACTATAAGGAAATAAACTTTTAAAATCACTTAAACAAAACCAAAAACAAAAATCCCAAAGCCTGCTGGCAATGTGAATTTCTGATTTTCAGCAGTATTTTCAAGATAAGCACCAATGTGGGACATTAAGTCCTCAATTCTGTTTTTGAGTGAACTGACAAGAGTTTAGAAAAACATTACTACTCTGCATCAAAGAGTAATTATGAATTGGGAGATATTCTAAAACCTTGTCAGAAAGTGTAGGGTTTAGTTATTTCAAACCTCAGGAAGGAAGGACAGTAAAACTGTCTAGGACTGAATGATTGTCCGCAAACTGAAAATGAGTACTGGGAAGTAACTGCCATGTTAAAGCTGTTCATTTTACCCAGAATGTTCTATTTCATTCTTTTTGCTTTACAAAATCATCCTTGATCTTAAGTCCCTGCTCCACATACAGAACTCATGTCCTGCTTTGTTTCTCTGGCAGTACCACAACCAGGCTGGCAGGGCAGTGATAATGTGACTCTTCCTCTAGGTTTAAACCTTTGATTGTGGAGTCTGTATCTTGCTGGTATGCTCAGATGGGCCCTCGCTGTGGGGAGCTTTGACCCAGCCTGCATTTTTGGGTCCCACTCCAGTCGAGTCCTGCAGCGTGCACCTGCGCAAAGACTGTTGGCCCTATTTGGCACAGAACCATATGCAGGGAAGGTAGCAGGGCTGCAGAGAGGAAGAATGCTGGGAACCTGGGGAGGACAACTACCTTTCTCAATTCCTGCAGAAAGTCTACTCTGAGAGCCTCAGAGAACATGTGTCCTCATTAGCAGGACAACCAGAACCCAAGGGGAGCAGATGAGTGGGATGATAAGAGTTCATTTCTTCAACCAGCTTTTTGAACTGCTCAAGCAGGAATAACATCTCATGTTCATTAAACAGTAACTTACAAGCAATTTTACTTGTAAGCTGCTGGAGATAAGATGTGCAATACTGGATCCCTGACCCCAAATCAGGTCTTGAAAGTCCACACAGGAAGATGTGCAATGAAGGTTATGGGCCCTGACAGTGGTCAGTTGTGGGGCATGGAAGGTGGCCCTAGAGCAAGGGCTTCTCAGGTGAGAGAGTAACTCCTGGGTGTGGAGGTAACTGCCCTTGAAGTACACTTTCACATATATCACAACTGTTATTTGTCATCCTAACTACCCACTGAAAACTCCATCAAGAATTACTATCACTCTTAGATTAGCTCAAATGCCACCCCACTGAGGGGTGCTCTCTGACCACCCACCTCAAGCACCCAGCCCTAGCTAGCTTCTGTGACTCTGTCTTCACTGGGTGCTCTCTCTAAAAGTAGCTGACTCTTTACTATCTCTCCCAATTCCCACTCCATTGGTTCCAAAAGGGGGAGAGCTGTCTCACTCAACATGGCGTTTCTGATACCAAGAACTGGTTGACTAGGCCAGGTGCAGTGTAATCCATGCCTGTAATCCCAGCACTTTGGGAGGCCAAGGTGGGTGGATCACCTGAGGTCAGGAGTTCGAGACCAGCCTGGCCAACATGGTGAAACCCCCATCTCCAGTAATAATAGAAAAAAATTACCTGGGCATGGTGGTGAGCTCCTGTAATCCCAGCTACTGGGGAGGCTGTGGCAGAAGAATTGCTTGAACCCAGGAGGCAGAGGTGAGCCAAGGCTGCGCTTTTGCACTCCAGTCTGGGTGACAAGACTGAGACTCCGCCCCTCCCCCCACCCCCCCAAAAAAGAACTGGCCGCTAAACAACTATGTTACACAACCCTTCTGCAGGTGAGGCCCCATGGTCCCGGCACAGCCCAAACCCCAGATACCTTCCCCACCTGCGCATATGGCCTCCCAATGACTCTAAGTTACCAGCAACAGGCAGCAGGAACAGCAGCCCTACAGTCTTACACAGAGCTCCACCACACAGCTTGGTGAAGAGAGCGCTGTGGAGATGTGGCAGGCACATGTGCAGCCCCCTGCAGCTCATACCTTCTGAAGCCTCACAACATTCTGGATGAAGAAGCGGTAGGCATTGTACCATGGGAGCAGAACATCCTTAAGGACGTCCCGCACACCCTCCTCTTTAAAGCGGAGGTTTTCTGCTCTCACCACAGGGGAGTTAATCAGATATAATCTGGAAGTGGGAGAAAAATTAGACAAAAAAGATGCTTAGACAGTAAACCAATTATTACTACTTGACATACTGAGAGAGCAAGATGAAAATCAGCCTACTTTCTATGAAAGGGAGAAACTATGAATACTCTTTGAGTGGTCAATTTAAAATTCACAAAACTCACTCTCGCTTTGTGTAAGAGACCTAGGAAATTATAAAAGGCGTATATAATCTGATAATAAAATATGGCACCAAAATGCATCTTATGCCAGTCTCACTGCAGGACCAATGGGGTACACTAGTACTAAGAGGAAGGCTGGCCTGGTCCTTGTCAAGAGCCACTGTCTCCTTCCCATGGACACGACCTGCACATTTGCTGCTTGCAGACAGAGGAACTCATAAGGAGCAGCCTTCACAGAACACAGTCTTGACATTTGGTGGGCAGAGGTCAGGAATGCTGTTAAACATCCTACAAAAAATTACTACCACAAAGAATTACCCAGCCCAAATGGCCAGCAGTGCCAAGGGTGAGTTTAAGAGACAGTGGAGAGTTGGGGGAGAGCCCCACACTAATGGCTCCTGCGCAACACAGGTGCTGTATGATGGTGCTGTGTGACAGGTCTGGGCATTGGTCTCATGTCCAGGACAAAAAGATGCCGAACAAGATCTCTAGGTCCCTTTCAACTCGAACGTTGTGTGATTTTGTGATTACAACTACCTCAAGCAGTGGCTCAAATTTCCCCAAAAGCTTTTCAATATTAGTTTTTTATTAGCTCTAGCATAGATATATCTCACATGGCTCTGTAAGCACAAAATTAAAATAAATGATGAAAGAGAATTCAAATACCAACAAGACAGGGAACCTAGAAAGAAGTAAGGCAGAGGCAATCCAAATCTAGCCTGGGGAAGACTTGGACAGCTCAACACCCAACAGAGGTAGGTCCTCTTCCCCAAACAGACCTCTAGGTTTAAAAATGCCTTTATGATCTAGAAAACTATTTGGGGAGTTGAAGATCAACAAGCATACCAACATAACACCCAAATTATAACAGAGATGTGTTGTTAAAAACCTAACTATAAACCAAATCTAAGAATTCTAATAGTATAGGAGATGCTTACATAAAAAACAATAAATACACACAAGGAAAAGCACTGGTTTGTACCTGAGCGCATCAGCACCATACTTCTGGAGAATGGAAACTGGATCTGGATAATTCTTTTTCCGTTTGCTCATTTTTTGGCCATCACTTGTAAAACAAAAGGGAGATGCCAATTAAGTCAATATCACAGATGATCCTGATATAAGGATATAAATCATTTCCAAATAGGAATACAAAAAAGGAAATGGGAAGGAGTAACTCAGAAGTTAAGCGTTAACAGGCTAGGCACCGTGCCTCACATATATTAATTCTAGCGCTTTGGGAGGGCAAGGCAGGTGGACCAACTAAGGTCAGGAGTTCAAGACCAGCCTGGCCAACATGGTGAAACCCCATCTCTTACTAAAAATATGAAAATTAGCCAGGCATGGTGGTACACACCTGTGATCCCCACTACTGGGGAGGTTAAGGCAGGAGAACTGCCTGAGCCTGGAGGCAGAAGTTGTGGTGAGCTGAGATTACACCACTACACTCTAGTCTGGGCAGCAGAGCAAGACTCCATCTCAAATAAGAAATGGAAAGTGTTAAGATACATCAGTAGGATATTTTAATATTTGCAAACTTCTTGAATATCATAATAAGTCCATGAGGAAGTTTCAGGGTAGACTGAAACAGGAAGATGTGTCAGAATATGTCCCAGAGAAATGAAAATTTACATTATCATAAAAACCTTTAAAAAAATTGTTCACAGCAGCTTTAATCACAATTGGCAAACGTTAGAAGCAACCCAGATGTCCTTCAAGAGGTAGATGGTCAAACAACCATGACATACCCATAATACAGAATGCTACTTATCCATAGAAAGGAATGAACTATTGGTATGCGCAGCCATCTGAAATCTCAATGGAATTATGTGGACTGAAAAAAAGCCAGCTGAGTGCTGTGGCTCAAGCCTGTAATCCCAGCACTTTGGGAGGCTGAGGCAGGTGGATAACCTGAGCTCAGGAGCTCAAAACCAGCCTGGCCAACATGGTAAAACCCTTTCTCTACCAAAAATACAAAATATTAGCTAGGTGTGATGGTGCATGCCTGTGGTCCCAGCTACTCAGGAGGCTGAGATGGGAGAATCGCTTGAGCCTAGGAGGTGGAGGTTGCAGTGAGCTGACATTGCGCCACTGCACTCCAGCCTGGGTGACACAGTGAGACTTCATCTCAAAAAAACAGAAAAAGAAAAAAAGCCAATGTCCCCAAATTAGTTACTGTAGGATTCTATTTATATAACATTCTTGAAATGACAAAATTATAGAGATGGAGAAAAAGCCAGTGGTTGCCACGGATTGGGGATGACAGTGGGAAGGTCAGTGGGGGATGAATGTAGTTATTAAAGGGCAATGCAGGAGGGAGCCTTTGGCGTCGAAATCATCCAGTATCTTGGCTGTGCTGGTGGATACAAAACCCTACACACGTGATAGTTGTGTATAAGTAAATGCATATAAGCAAATAAATATATGTAAAACTAGGGAAATCTGAATAAGATTGATGGACTGTATCAATATCCTGGTTGTGATATATACTGTGATATACACACATTTGTAAAATGTGACCACTGAGGGAAACTGGGCAAAGAATACAAGGGCTATTATTTTTCATGATTGTATGCAAATCTACAATGATCTCAATACAATTTTCCATTTTTTTTTTTTTGAGATGGAGCCTCACTCTATCACCTAGGTTAGAGTACAGTGATCTTGGCTCACTCCAACTTATACCTCCCAGGTTCAACAGATTCTTGTGCCTCTGCCTCCCAAGTAGCTGGGATTACAGGTGTGCACCACTGCACCCGCTAATTTTGTATTTTTAGTAGAGATGGGATTTCACCAAGGCCAGGCTGGTCTCAAACTCCTGAACTCAGGTGATTCACCAACCTCAGCCTCCCAAAGTGCTGGGATTACAATGCATGAGCCACAGCGCAGGGCTCTCAATACCATTCTCCATTAAAAAAAAAAAAAAAAAAAAAAAAAGGCAGCACACATACCACAGAGGCAGACTGCCTGAGTTCAAAACTTGCATTTACCACTCATTGGCTGTGTGTTCTTTTTCTGTCCCTCGGATTCCTCGAAGGTCAAAATGGGGTGATTATAGGACCCATCTCGAATGGTTCCGAGGGTTAAATGAATTAAGACGTGAAAATGCACACAATGGGGCCTAGCAAAAAAAAAAAAAAAAAAAAAAAAGGATGCACAAAATGTTAGGTGACATCCTCTTCCTCCCCACACAGCATATAAAGCAGGATTTCTGTGTGGGTAAATATTTCATTTAAATTTTTGTTTATGTTTATTTTTATCCTTAATGACTACAGGTAATAAATGAAAAATGAGACTCCTTTATAATATTAAAAAGCAGGAAGTAACACCCACTGGGAGGAAGTTTTAGATGAGGGGGAGAATGAGATCTGGTGGCAGAGTACCTGGGTTGAACCTGGTGTGGCTGTCACTAGCTTTGATCCTGAGCACCTGTGGTCTTTAGGACCCACAGCTTCCTCATATGTTAAAAAAAAAGGACAACAAAATCTACATGAAAGGACTGATGTATGGACGAAATAAGATGTATACGCAAAAGTACTTCATAAAATGCTAAGTTTAGTAAATGCTATTTTACTACTGGTAATATCACTAAGTAGCATTATGTTACTAGTAGTAGCACAGCATGAAAAAAGTCCTCCCCTTCCTCCATCTCCATCAGGCTTAGCTCTCACACACTCCTTCTTGAGAAACAGTGGAGACAAAGCTCCATCCATCACTACAACAAAGGAATTGACCTACCTTGCCAGGATGAGCCCATTCACAATTACATTCTTGAAAGGTGGTTGTCCAAAGAGGGCCGTGGCCAGCACCAGCAGGGTATAAAACCTGAAAAAACCCCAACAACCCAACAGTTCAATAAAAATAGAAATGAAGTCCAAGTATAAGAAAGAAGCTATATTTATTAATTGAACTAAATTTATATTTTTGAGAAATCATACTATTTGATAGTCACTTAAAGCAATGATTCTTAATCCTGGTTACTGGAGAAAAAAAAAACAACAAAAAAACAAACAGAGACACAGGACCCACCACAGACCAGTCAAAGTACAGTCTATGATTTGAAAAAAAAAAAAAACATGAAATAAAGGTCTGGAATGATTTACTGACGATTTCTCTGCTACCAGGTCTCCTAGGAAGTCAATGTGGAAAGCCACAAGGCAGCATTGGGTGGCCTTTCAGGACAATCCAGAAGCGCCTGGCTAAAAATGAGGGGTGGCCCAAGATCATATGGGACGGACAATCAGATGACAAAAGATGCAAAATGCACTCTCATCCAAAGTGATAAGGCAGACTAGAAAAATGCTTTTATTCTGTAAAATGTTGGGTACCTCATTTATACGCTAGCTTGTTCCCCAAATGAACTCTATCATATTCCTGCTCTGTCCTGGGGGTGATGCTCTCCTGCTTACCTCACCTAGTCCAGCACTCACGGAACATCAAGGGACATGAGCTGAGGAGACCAGACCCCATGGTTAACATAAACACTTGTCCAAATATTGCCTACTCCAGTTCTAAAGGAGAGCTGGGAGGAGCCCTGATGCCCAGGAGAAGCAGCCCAGGCCTCAGGGATGGAGAAGGAGGCAGCAAGAACACGGGGCCCATATGAGGAACCAGCTAACGGACTTTGCTACTCCTCAAAGGAACAAGCTCACTGGTAAGGCATCCAACCCTTTCTAAAAATATAATTTTTTTTTTCTGGGTAGCTGTTCCTATAGACAAAAAGGATTGGAATCTGAAAATAGCACATTCCAGAACATGAAGACTTGAATTCAATGATTACCCAAAGATGTCAAAGGAGAAAATGACATCAACAATTCCTCAAACAAACCCCTGCAGAAACATTACTCTGAATGTATAATTAAAATCTGGGGTGGGCGCAGTGGCTCACGGCTGTAATCCCAGTACTTTGGGAGGTGGAGGCAGGCAGGTCACTTGAGGTCAGGAGTTCAAGGCCAGCCTGGCCAACATGATGAAACCCCGACTCTACTAAAAATACAAAAATTAGCTGGATGCAGTGGCAGGTACCTGTAGACCCAGCTACTTGGGAGGGTGAGGCACAAGAATTGTTTGAACCCAGGAGGTGGAGGTTGCAGTGAGCTGAGATCATGCCATTGCATTTCAATTTGGGCAGCAGAGCAAGACTCCATCTTAAAAAATAAAAATAAACTATGAGAAAACACTCAACATCTGTTAATGAAAATAATAATAAAAAAAAAAAAAAAACCTGAGCCGGGCGCGGTGGCTCACGCCTGTAATCCCAGCACTTTGGGAGGCCGAGGCGGGTGGATCACGAGGTCAAGAGATCGAGACCATCCTGGTCAACATGGCGAAACCCCGTCTCTACTAAAAATACAAAAAATCAGCTGGGCATGGTGGCGCGTGCCTGTAATCCCAGCTACTCAGGAGGCTGAGGCAGGAGAATTGCCTGAACCCAGGAGGCGGAGGTTGCGGTGAGCCGAGATCGCGCCATTGCACTCCAGCTTGGGTAACAAGAGCGAAACTCCGTCTTAAAAAAAACAAAAAACAAAAAACCTGGGTCAGCAAAGCCCATCCATGGAAAGAAAGTAATTCACCTTTTTCCAATTAAGAAGAACTGCTTTACTTAAAGCACCAGATAAATCAATGCTCAAATCCTCCCCCTATATGTATATTATTAAAAATCTGGATTTTTTAGAATGTTGATTTATAAGGCTAGCCTCAGTATCTGAGCACATTTCCAACTATTCCTCAAATTTCTACCACCCAACCTACTGTCTTTTATGCAAATACTCATTACACATTTGAGTAAATGATCTCAAGTGAGTAAGCTATGAACACATATTGATTTTTATCATTTAAACTTCCAATATAACATATATTCTAAAACGTCAGTGAGATAATTCAAATTGTAAAACTATAGCCCTATTGTAGTGGGAGATTCCTACTCAAAAGGCACTTTAATGTCCATGCTTGGTGACACAGGGCAGGAATGAAGCCTGTCTTATTTGCCACAATCTCCCCAGCACCAAGTAGATAAATGGCAGGGACTTAGTAAAATATTCCCTAAATAAAATACAATCAGTTAAACATGTGATGAAAGAACAAGGGGGCATACCATCCTCTGGTTTGGTCGATGCCCTCAGCAATGAAGTCTGCAGGAAAAGCATCCTCAAACTCCCTCTTGTTTTCAAATGGATAATGAACCTGAGCATAGGGCATGCTGCCACTCTCAAACCAACAGTCAAACACTTCAGAGATGCGGTGCAAGGATCCCTTCCCACAGCGTGAAGGAATGGTCAGGTGGTCAATGCTGACAAACAGAAAAGTAGCCATTTCTATTAAATATAAGCATAACAGTCCTTGAAGTTTAACTGTAAATAGGAAACACAAAACTCTGACAAGATATAATACACATTTGCAAACAGAAACATCAACAATTCTCAAAGCCTTTCTGAGAGCACCATGAATCCCTCCATCTGAAAGGTTATGCACCTTTCACCTCATATTTCATAAGGACAGAGGCCACAATACCACAATATGACATGAGTCATCAACAAAGTACTTCAGCAAACTAGTCACTTCCATGTATAGCTCTGTAATCAGCTAAAGACCAGGTCTTAATAGGAGAATGATAAAACTGAAGTGAATCAAACATTTGGAAACTGACCTCTCTCTGTGGAGATCTGTGATCTTTGCTCCCGAGAGTTCTTCAAGTTCTGCCACTGACCCAATGCATACTACCTGCCAAAAACAAAGTTCAATAGCAGGAGCTCCTTAGAGCCAAGCAGAGCAAATACTGAGTTCATTTACATAGTATGCATGTTTAGTTTGAGAGAGACTGATGATTTTCTCTTTCCTTTTTTTTTTGAGACAGGTTCTCACTCCCATTGCCCAGGCTGGAGTGCAGTGGCGCAATCACATCTCACTGCAGCCTCAGCTTCCTGGGCTCAGGTGATCCTCTCACCTCAGCTCTCAAATAGCTGGGACTATAGGCAGGCACCACCCAGCCCAGCTATTTTTTTTGTATTTTTAGTAGAGAGAGGGTTTCACCATGATGCCCTCGTCTCAAACTCTTGGACTTGAGTGATCAGCCAGCCTTGGCCTCCCAAGTGTTGGGATTACAGGCGTTGCGCTGGGCCTGAGACTGATGATTTTCTTTAAAGGCACATTAAGCACATTAACACACCAATCTGGGCTGAAGCGTAGTATCCGCTAATGTGGCTTCTCTCTCACGAAAGACACAGCTTAGTCTCTGAAGAGGCCATTGTTGACACTGCTCCTTTGTTTCCATGCCAATACCAGAGGGAGTCCCTACCTAGAGAAAATCTTAAACATTCATAGCCATACTCTCAATAGGCATTAAGCCTTTATTAAGTGCAGATCATCAAAGTAACCGGCATAAGTGAAGCATCTTAGATTATTGCTCTAAGCCATCTCAGTTTCTTCCTGGCACCTGAATCTAGCTCATTAATCTAGAATCTTTCCAAGAAAAAGCTAGAACTAAATTATAGTCATACAGTGCTTAAGGACAAGAATACATTCTGAGAAATGCGCTGTTAGGGTGATTTCATTACACAAACATCACAGAACAACTTACGCAAACCTAGATGGGATGGCCTAAAACATACCTAGGCGATATGATGGAGCCTATTACTTCTGGGCTACAAATTTGTACAGCATGTGACAGTACAGAATTCTGCATGCAACTATAACACAATGGCCTGCCCCCACCCCACCTCCCCCGCTTCTTCTCTTGCCATGTGATCTCTGCATACTCTGGCTCCTGTCCAGCCTTCCATCATAAGTGGATGCAGCCTGAGGTCCTCCTCAGATGCACATGTCTAGTTTTAAGCTTTCCAGTCATCCAGAATCATAAGCCAAATAAACTATTCTTCTTTATAAATTACCCAGCTTCATGTATTCCTTTGTAGCAACACTAAAAGACTAAAACAGCAAGTATTTGAGTTTCCTTTTCATTTTTTAAAAAATTCAAGTATTTGAGTTTCTAAACATTATGAAACATAGAAAAGAAACAGTAACAATGTGGTATTGTAACCTTGTGAGACCACAGTGAGGGATGGGGCTAGCTGGGGCACTCAGAATGGAGGGATCATCTGACAAGGGCCACAACAGTAGGAGCTGCTGTGGGTTCTCATCCAAGGAGCTTCAGCTCCTAGTGAACACTGGTGCCCTCTTTCTCTGCCTTTCCTACTCAGTCTTGAAAAGTCTTCTGATTCAGCTACTTCACTGTTGCCTTTCAGGTCGCTATGGGAGATTCACCAAGGTCCCTAGGGTGCCACTGCTCGTCATTGCTACAATGCTGTCAGCATTGGACAGAAGGCCACACAGAGATCTATCTGTATAGTAAGTTCTCACCTGACATCATTGAGCGGTCCCAGTAGCAGGGTCTAACTGGCGTGTACCACCATGCCTGGCTAATTTAATAAACGGTTTTGTAGAGATGGTACCCCACTATGTTGTCTAGGCTGGTCTCAAATTTCTGGCCTCAAGTGATTCTCCTGCCTTGGCCTCCCTAAGTGCTGAGATTACATGTGTGAGCCATCACACCTGGCCTAAAGTCACAGTTATTAAGAACTTTTGTTTAGCTGGGCATGGTGGCGCGTGCCTGTAATCCCAGCTACTCAGGAGGCTGAGGCAGGAGAATTGCCTGAACCCAGGAGGCGGAGGTTGCGGTGAGCCGAGATCGCGCCATTGCACTCCAGCCTGGGTAACAAGAGCGAAACTCCGTCTCAAAAAAAAAAAAAAAACTTCTGTATGACATTAAGCGAGGACATAGTATATATGCATACATCTATATATCCACACACACCCTCTCACTCACTTGATTCTAGAAGTTAAAGGTCTGCAATGCTTTGATAAATTTCTTTTCAAGTTTTCATTTTTCATTATCTGTAAAGTCAGTTTAACCACAAGCTAATGATACAACTTAATGCAGGGGGAAGAAAAGACATCAGAGAAACACAAGAAAAAACATTTGAAGTGTGGATTTCCCTCAGAAAACTGTATCCTTTTATTTTTTACAGAGGGAATTCTATAAATTGTATTTAATTCAAGGAAAAAAGAAGTTAAAAACCCTAAAAACAGATTATTTTATGTCATGATTATTTTATGTCAGGAAGGAATAGAGGAAAAAAGATGAAATAAAAAAGTGGCAAAGAAAAAAGAAACCCAATTCTTTTTCATGAACAAAATGCTTTAGCAAAAATCAACACAAGGGAATACTGCCCTGCCTCACCTCCTCAAAGTCATCACTGACCCACAGTGGGATAGGGGTGCCCCAGTATCTGTTTCTGGAAATTGCCCAGTCACGTGCATCTTTCAGCCAATTTCCAAATCGTTTTTCTCGCACAAACTCTGGGACCCTGCAATAAACAGATCACATAAGCAGTCACATAAGAATATTAGTAATTCCAAATTGTAAATTATATCCATGCGATCCTTCGTGTAATGCTTTGTGGAGCAAACAATCTGGAAACATGGAGCTCACTTCAAAGAGTGTGTCTTCTAAATGCACAGCATAGCACACGCAACAGTCTGTGCTGCCATCAATGACCTACATCCAATAGATAACACCACCACAGCACACAGGCCTCCCATGTCCTCCTCTTCAACTGCAGTATGGCTGCCACAAACCTCTAACCAGTCACCCTTACTCTAGCCAGCCTCATCCCATACAACTCTACTCTTTACAGTATCCTCACCACAGCAATTTTACTGAACTGCTTAAGCAAAGGCTCCAAACAGGCCAGGCGATTGGTAGCTGTTCTAGCGGCCCCCACTATAGTCTCCTCTCTGATCATCCTTGGTCTTGAATTTCATGCTCCGACAATGAAGCAAGTTCCCTAGAATCTTTCTCACTTAACTGCCTTTGCCCATGCCTGCCCTGTGCTATGCAGCCTTCCTCCCCTCTGCATCCATCCCACTCCCAATGCTCTTTATTCCTTGAGGTTCAGCTTTGCAGAAATCCTTTCCAAGCACAAGGCTCTGTCAGGGTAGGCTACCAAACCTTCCCTTCTTCTCTTGGGCACTACAGTTACTGCCCTGTACTTCAAAGATCAGTTTATATGCCTGCACCCCCTTGAGGTTATCTTATTAATATTCTATATCTAGTATCTTACACATTAGGGGAACTAATTAGCATATTGGCTCTAAAAATGAAAAGCTGTCTTTTGATAAATCAGGACCACTCTGCTAAGAAATATTAGAAAGCTAGTTTATAAGCATTTTCCTTATTGTCTTGAGATTCTCCCCATTCTCCTAAACACAAATACGGTTTTTGAATCTAGTTGGGTCCTTGTGAAATGAAGTGGTGATTACCTTTAAAACTTGTAGTGAAAAACATTCTTCTGAAATACATAGGTTCAAGCCTTGTTTCATTTTGTACCCAGAGGCTGAAATGATACCTCTTGGGTAATCGCCTGCAGGACACATATCAGCTGAGGAAAATAAAGGTTTCTGTGCTTGGAGCTTATCCATAAAGCCAAGCACAGGGGACATTATTCACTACAGGACCGACAACAGTTAAGTACACATGGCATTTGCAGGTATATCTGAAAATGACTATTACTGAAGGCTAGCGAACAGCCACATTTTTTCAAAGTCATTTCATTCCATAAATCAAATAAATGTGAGTTTCTCATTTCTACTGAGTTTAAAAAGAAAAAAACTCCCTTATATACTTTATAACAAGAAAGATATTACTTCTGTACTATAACATCATTTGAATTATTTTGTGTTCCTAAACACGCAGAATAAAAGATAGCTATTATAATACATAATGGAAAATGGATTTGGGGGAAGTGTAAAACACACCTACTAACGACATGACAAAAGACACTATGAAGAAATACATTTTACTGCTCACCAGTAGCACAGGTCATTGTTCCTTAGGAGCTGGTCCACCATGTTCTCTACTCGTACAAACCAGCTGGGCACTGCTTTGTAAATGAGGGGAGTGTCTGATCTAGGGAAGCAGAAACAGAGACATAGCTGCTCAGGTTGGACTAGCAGGCACCAGGGTAAGACCCACTTTTCATGTTTTATTGACAGCATCATCACTTACTTGGCCTTCTGCTAATATTTATTTTTGTTACAGATAAAAGCATCTAAGTCTCCAAAATTGGTCATCTCTTTCCACAATAGTTAAGAAAGGCAAAAACTAATATAAGAACAAGACCAGGAAAAAAAAATATGGTTCTGCTGGTGACAATTGTCTAAGAAACAATGTCAACTTCAACTTCAGCATGGAAGAGGCAATGTGAAAACCAAATATGATGCAACTGAACATTTCATGTTCACCAACGCCTTTATAGCATGGGCTTACATTAAACATTAAAATCACATTAAATTTTTCATTCAATTCCATTACAAAATTTTAGAGATGTTTCTCATCCTAAAAAAATGTGGCCAAAACACAAAACAGATTTGTACAGGACTATTTTTCTCACATAGTTCCTTAGGAAAGTAAGACTTTTAAGGCCGGGCATGGTGGCTCATGCCTGTATTCCCAGCACTTTGGGAGGCTGAGGCGGGTAGATCACGAGGTCAGGAGATTGAGGCCATCTTGGCTAACACAGTGAAACCCTGCCTCTACTAAAAATACAAAAATAATTAGCCAGGTGTAGTGGCACGCACCCGTAGTCCCAACTACTCAGGAGGCTGAGGCAGAAGAATAGCTTGAACCTGAGAGATGGAGGTTGCAGTGAGCCAAGATTGCACCACTACACTCCAGTCTGGGTGACAGAGCAAGACTCTGTCTCAAAAAAAAAGGAAAGAATGAATTTTGGCCATTCACAAAACTCTCCTAGACCAGGCATTGTGGCTGGCTCATGCCTATAATCTTAGCAATTTGGGAGGCCAGGGTGGGAGGATTACTTGAGCCCAGGAGTTTGAGACCAGCCTGGACAACATGGCGAAATCCCCTTTCTAAAAGAAATGCAAAAGCTAGCCAGGTGTGATGGCACCACCTATATAGTCCCAGCTACTCCAGAAGCTGAGGTGACAGGATTGCTTAAGCTGGGGAGGTGAAGGGTGCAGTAAGCCATGAATGCAGCACTGCACTCCAGCATGGGCAACAGAGTGAGACCCTGTCTCAAAATAACAACAAAAAACCCAACTCTCCTAAAAATAAAGTAAGAAGCAGCTTCCCAAACCGGCTCTAAATGATACAAATAAGATGAACACCACAAATATGGAACAGGCAAACACAGAAAGTGTAAGCACAGATTGGAAGCTCTAGCTACAACACAGTCTTTGTTTCTTCTTGTTGAGATTCACTCGGGGTGGATGGCAAAATATTACAGCAATATTAGGAAAGGTTGCTGTGCATGGTGGCTCACACCTGTAATCCCAGCGCTTTGGGGGGCCGAGCTAGACAGATCACGAGGCCAGGAGATCGAGATCAGTCTGGCTAACATCGGGAAACCCCGTCTGTACTAAAAATACAAAAAATTAGCCAGGCTTGGTGGCACGTGCCTATAGTCCCAGCTACTCGGGAGGCTGAGGCAGGAGGATCGCTTGAACCGTGGAGGCAGAGGTTGCAGTGAGCTGAGATTGTGCCACTGCACTCCAGCCTGGGTGATTGGGCGAGACTGTCTCAAAAAAACAATAAAAACACACACAAACACAAAGAATTAGGAAAGGTTATAGGTTTTAGATTAATCTATAACCTTTCCTAATATTTCTATAATATTCTACCAGCCACCCTAAGTGAATCTCAACACTTCTGACCTCCAGCAAAAAGGGTAGCTGTGAGTGAAGGTGCTGGCAACCAGAAGTCGGCCTTGTTCCTTCAAAGTCCTGATGATACTTTTGTCAGCATCCTGTTAAAAAAAATTAAAATTCAGCCATTAAAACATACTGTAATATTTAGGAACAATGTATTACTAGAGTCTGATATTGTTATGAATAAAAGGCACAAATAACAAATATTAATTATTTTTAGTCACTAACTTCAAGTCAAGTACATTCCACAACATTTAAGGTCATAAAGTTTTCTTTCTGAAATGATTACCCCAAGGTCACAAAGTTGCTTTATGAGGCATAAACCGGGGCAGTTTTTCTGATCTCTCCCTGTGAAATTACAGCATGCTTCCTCTAAAGATATGAGACCCTCTGAACATAACTGATAACATCTTTACTGATTTTATGTGACGACAACACTAAGTAAAAACAACTTCCTAGAAGAATTACAATACAATTATAAACCATGATGGAGACTAATCAAAAGTAACAGACACCCTTCTATGCCATATGGAATACAGACCTTCACATACTGTCCTGCAAAGTGTGTCACCTCTGCTGTGAAGCAGCCTGATGCATCCACAGGACAAACGGGGAGTGAGTCTTTCCGAATAATGTTGAAGTCCATACAGACCCGATAGTCATCCTGAGAAAAGGCAAAAAGGAGAGAAGAATAAAACATTCTAAGTATGGGTGTGGGGAAGAAGCATGAGGTAACAGAGTCCCAAGATAATTGTTCTATATTATAACATATACATGTCATTAACTTTATCCTGTTAACTGAAGGTAACTCAAAACCATTAGGAGAACCAGAGCCTCCTAGTTGGACAGGGATTAGATCATCCAGTCCAGTCTTCTCAAATATTATTTTCCAGACCTCTATATATACCTGAGTATTCACTAAATGAGAAGATAAATGACACATATGATTTTTTTTTTAAGTGAAAGGAAGTTAATTAAGAAAGTAAAGGAATGAAGAATGGCTACTCCATAGGCAGAGCAGCCACACATGAATGTTTTAAAACTGAATCAAATTTGGTTTATAACAGTAGCACACCCAAAAACCAAAATACACACAAGTATGAGGCATGGTCTGTTAGTATTACATGCTTGATGTACATTTGGATTTGCACCCTCTCAAGGAAGACCCCAAAGGATGGCAACACTGACCTAAAAATCCAAAGTATTTACTTTTCAAATAAGCAAACTGGGTCTCAACTGGCATAGCTTATACCATGAAGCTTCAGGAATATATTTTGAAGACTGTTAACAATAGAGCAAATGCTTAGCAAAGTGCTATGTGACACGGTATTCTGAGCACTTTACATATGCTCACTTACACCTCACAATGCTCTTAGACAAAATGGCATGAAAACAAAACAAGACACCTCCCAATGATCCTACAAAGAAGGCTTTCACCAGGTGCTCCTCTTACACAAATTAGCAATCATCTCTATTTTACAGATAGGAAAGTCAAGGTACCAAGAAATAACTCAGCTATGAGGCAGCAATGCTAGGCTCCAGAGCTTCACCACTGTGCTATGATGCCTAAATATAAAATTAAAGAGACTGCCTTATGTTAGTGAAACCACACTCTGGATTGACTCCAAGACAACCTGGAAAGTGGACATGTTTCCACCTGGATCTGTGTTCACCTCTCCCTGTGCTGAGGCTGACTGGTGTGGTGTCATGTGGGTGGACAGGAAAAGCCCCTAAGTGCAGCAATTTGAACTACTGAGTGTGGAGCAAGTAACTCTATCCAGTGCATTAAGCTAAGAGCAGTTTTCCTAAATGCATCCAGAACAAGTGATGTTCAACATGATGACGCACAAGTGCACAGACTCCGCAGAGATCAAACACTACCTTGCCTAGCAAAAGAAGGCCTCTCAGAAAATGTTTACCAAGGTGGGGCACGGTGGCTTACACCTGTAATCCCAGCACTTTGGGAGGCCAAGGTGTGCGGATCACCTGAGGTCAGGAGTTTGAGACCAGCCTGGCCAACACTGGTGAAACCCCGTCTCTTCTGAAAGTACAAAAAATTAGCCAGGTGAGGTGGTGGGTGTCTGTAACCCCAGCTACTTGGGAGGCTGAGGCAGGAGAATTGCTTGAACCCAGGAGGCAGAGGTTGCAGTGAGCCAAGATCGTACCATTGCACTCCAGCCTGGGCGACAGAGGAAGACTGTCTCAAATGAAAAAAAAAAGAAAGAAAGAAAAGAAAGAAAGAAAGAAAGGAGAGAGAGAAAATATTTACCAATTGGGGTTAAAGGCTACAGTTTAAAGAATAAATCTTCCATAACATTAACGCGCATGGCGTTCAGAATCTTCTATAGAGTTAATGTGCATGGCACTCAGAGTGCTATGAGATAGAACTCTAGAGTTAATGACAAATGCCTACATTTAAAAAGAAAACCTAAACTACAATTCAAAACCAAGAAGTTACCTTTTTAATCATCTACTATCAGTGGGGTAACTAACCATACTGGTTGGCCCTAAAATGATTATGAACAGTATGTGACTAGTTCCTAAAACTCTTAAGTAGCATTATCAAGAATACTTTCTTCCATCAAAACTGAATATGGACCAGGTATTGGGTGATTATTAAGGAATTGCTGACTTTATTGGCTATAAATAACAATGGCACAGTGGCTACAGTGAAAATAAAAGTCCTTATTAGTCAGAGATGCAGCTAGAATTACTAATACATGAAAGACATGATGTTGAGGATTTGCTTCTGAATCCTCCAGCCAAAATAAAAAGTGTGGTACTATACAGAGGAAGAAAACAAGAGAGATTACCAAAATGTTGAGAACGCAGCTGGATGATGTGACAAAAAGAATTATAATATTTTCTTCTGTGTCTGTTTCAAGATTTCCAGAATAAAACTTCAAGTGATGGTTACATTAAAAGCCCAGATTTTACCTCTACAAATCAATGTAAAAAAATGTACATACATACATACATATATATATATATATATATATACACACACACACACATATATAAATGCACCCCATATATCTATAATAAATAAAATAAAATCCCAGAGATTAAGCATAAAAGCAAAATGGCAAATGAAGACAGACTACTCTCACTGCCTTTTAGAACAAAGTCACATTTCCAATGCCTCTCACCAACAAAATGATCAAGCCTAGAGTAATGTGTAGGTGCTACACCATGCTACAGAGGAGGCAAAGGAAATCCAGACAGGCCAAGCAACTTAGCTTGGAACTGGCCACTAGTGGCAGCACCATGATTTAAGGTGAGAGGTGGTTTACTGCAAAGCATGTTCCTTTATGTTATTTTGTTTTTATTCATACAAAAATTACATGAAAGGGAAAGTGTTTTTAGAAAAACCATTCGGGGCAAAATACAAAATTAACTGAAGAGTACAGTTTTGAGAGGAGAGGTCAAATTCCCCCTTCTGATCATGTAGCATTTAATTAAGAACACAGCAGAGGTGATGAGAATGGTGTGTATTTTGGAGGCTGAGGCACCTGCACATCTCTAGATGCCTGTCAAAACTCACAGAACTGTATAACAGAAAGAGTACTGCATGAATGAATAAATAAAGACACAGCAAGGCACTGTGGCCTTTTAGAAAGATTAAACGACTGGAAGTGGCCCTGAATTTTACCCACTCTTTCCAGAAATTAGCTTAGGATGAATGAAAGGGAATTGCAGATGCAAATTTTAAAAGCCATCTTGCAGGCAGTGAGTCAGAAAAGAGGCCAACCTGGTGGCCCAACATGATGAGACCCATGACTCAGCATCTATGAAAAGTGGCCACCGACATACTTTTCAAATACATTTGCCAGATTTATGCTACTCACAGCACCAAAGTAAGGAGCTTGGTGGACAACCCCTGTGCCTTCTTCTTCCTTCACATAGTTGTCAACGAGCACAGTGAAAGCGCCATTCTCTTTACACTAGAAAAAAAGGCAGCAGGCTTCAGGGATGAAACATTACTATATTACAATGTTAACTTCGTAACAGTTTTTCTTAAGAACCTGAAAACACTTTCAACATGTAAAATTATTTCCAGAAATATTAAAGAAAGAATAATTCAGGTTGGGAAGAAACATGCTAATTCAATACATTTTTCTCATAAATAAAAAGTTTCTACTTATAAATCAAATAATTATCTGGAGACTGGCAGATAAAAATTTTTAATTTCCTTGGTTACAAACTGATTTTTTTTTTTTTTGTTGTTGTTGTCACACAGGCTGGATTGCAGTAGTGCAATCTCGACTGACTGCAAATTCCGCCTCCCAAGTGCAAGCAATTCTGCAGCCTCAGCCTCCTGAGTAGCTGGGATTACAGGTGCCCACCACCACGCCCAGCTAATTTTGTATTTTTAGCGGAGATGGGGTTTCACTATGTTGGCCAGGCTGGTCTTGAGCTCCTGACCTTGTGATCCACCTGCCTTGGCCTCCCAAACTGCTGGGATTACAGGTGTGAGCCAAGGTGTCCAGCCCAAACTGATGTTTTTCATTAGTTCTCCCTTCCTCCATTTTTGCTCCTAGTATGCAGTCTAGGATATTCGCTTACTGGTACATTTTCAATCACTGTATATGTTTTGCTTCTCTTTTTCCTTTCAACTCAGCTCAAGTTATTCAGTTATGAAGGCAAATCTCGAAAGGAACAGGTGGGAGCCACAAGTAGTAAGTTCTATTTACAGGTACTCCACCACCTTTTAAGACTCAGGGGAAATGTGTTCAATTTTATTTTCTTTGCAACAGCAATATCATCACGTTAATACATAAAATGCTAATAGACCTACTCTTTCTACTTTCACCTCTTTACATTTCTTTCCACAAACCACTGTTTCTTCCAAACTGGGATGTCCTTCCTTTTTGCATTGGTTAAAAAGTATTTTCACATTTAACTCCTAAAATCCTGTGAAAAAGCTATTAGTAATCCCATGTCTTAAAAATATTCTGGCTGTATTTGCATTTCACAGATAAGCAAACTCAGAACAAAGATTAGTCTTTACCCAAATCACACAACAGTGATGAAACCATGACCTGAAACAAGTCTTCTGGTTGCAAATACAATGTTATTTCAACTTCAGCACAGGACTCTGTCTCTTTGAAACTTAAAACTGAACTTGGAAAATAACCATAAAATTTCATTGCTGTAACCCAAATCACCTTGAAACATTTTAGAAGTTATGGTATGATAGGTGCTCAAATTTTGATAGTTTAAACAGAAAGAATACATGGGTCCTTAGAATTACATGTTCTATACTTAGAATCAGTATAGACTAAGTCACTGCATCTTGTCTCTCAGGGTCCACCTGGGGACTATCCAGGCCATGGCTGGGCTGCTTCCACCCAGGTCAGCAGATACCAACCACTAGGAGCGGCAATGCTGCTCCATTGGCAATGTCTGCTGACACAACTTCCCTTGGTATTTCAGAACAGGTATATGTCAGTGAATATCAGATGAATTCTGTCCCGGGTCAAACAACTTATAGTACTCGTCTAAAGTCACCGAAGGTCTCAGGCAGTTTAAGAAGTTTATTTAATGGCTAGGTGTTATTCAACTGGATGTGTACCGAGTGCATATTCCAGACAGACCTCTGTTTAACCTAAAGTTCCTGTCTAGTCTGTCCATGTGCATTTTTTCAGAGGGTTGAGCTTTCTTTGGGTTCTCAATAGGATTTGTGATTCAGAAAGGTGAAGCGTCACTGATCCAGTGGAAGAGATTTTAGATAATAAAAAAATACAACATAAAACAAAGTGTGTTAAGATACACGATAGGAGAATAAACTAAAGACATTTCTCCAAGGGAGAAACCAAAGATGCATTTCAGAAAACTTTCAGATGACATCTGAGTTCAGACTTGAAGGGTGAGTTAACTCAGCATATCTACACATGAAAGAAAAAAAGATAAATACTTTTAAAATGGTAGGAAAACTTAATAAAAAAGGCAGGGAAGCAGGAAAGGAAAGAGCCAGTTTGATCGAATAAAGGATATGTCTAAAGTAGCATGGGAGAATGTGGTCAGGAAGCAGGTCTGCTGCACAGCGACTGGGGAGGGCATGTCCTGAATGCTGGGAAATAACTAATGCTTGAAGGGAGGAATGGGATGAAGAGAGAGCATATGGAAATCCACTGGGCAGCAACGTGGGAGGAAGAAGGCCATTATGTAGGCAAGAAGAAATGTAGAAAAACAAGAAGCACAAAAGCGAGGAGGCAGGTAACAGACACACTGTGGATAGGGCCCAAGCCATGGAGGTCTCCTGAATCAACCAGACTCTCCCTACAAGGAACAGAAACAACAGAGCGTTCAGCAAATGTTTTTTTTGGGGGGATGGGATGTAAGTGATATGTCCAGTTGATTATTATTTCCACATAACCAATAAAGCCAGGCCTGCTTATTATCTCATTTCAAGACCTTTAAATAAGGATGGAGGAAATCCTGCTTGACAACACTCTTTTGGTGAGGGAGTGTGGGTGACAGGGTTTGCAGCTGTAGCTGTGGATTCTCCATTGTGGGAAAATAAAACCACATAAAACAACTTTATGACTCTGAAGAAACTAAGGTGCTAAAGGTATGAGCCCTGTCATGGTACCTAGATTTAAATACCTGCCTCATTAACCTCCTTGAAATAAAATTGTGTTTACTTTTACACACGATGTTTTATTCTGATGACTATCTTAAATTAGTCAAAAAACAAACAAACAAACAAAAAAAACCCACAAAAAACCTAAATAAATGCCCTGGATATGTAAACTACATGTAATAAAAATATACACATAAAAATCCAATCAAATGTAAAGTGATTATTCATATAATTTGAGGAAAAAAAGTCATAGCCAGGTGCAGAGGCTCATGCTTGTAATCCGATGAGTTCAAGACCAATGTGGGTAACATAGTGAGATTCTGTCTCTACAAAAAATGAAAAACTTGGCCAGGTGTGGTGGTGGTGTATGCCAGTAGTCCCAGCTACTTGGGACAGGGGGGCATCACTTGAGCCCAAGAGGTTGAGGCTGGGGTGAGCCATGATTGTGCCACTGTACTCAAGCCTAGGGGGCAAAGGAGATCCTGTTTCAAAAAAAAAAAATCCTCTAAAACAAGAAAGCAACACAAACGATTTAATTTTGTTAGCACTAAAGCAGACTTTCTGGATTCAGGTACAGTCAAACGAGCAATATAACAGTAAGGTAATGTGAATTCCACTTATCACCTCATCCCAGCTATCAAATAATCAGATTGTGGAGAGTCCCCACAGTAGCAGTCCCTGAGCTTACCTTCACAAAATAGTCAAACAAGGGCCTGTACTTCTTGCCTTTAAGATAGGCACCAGGAAATCTAGAAAAGGAGAAAGGCAAACTCACAATTAAATTAAATCAAATAGGAGGCTACAGCCCCATCAAGCCAAGCCACCACTCACCTGTGGTTTGCTGGCTCCTTAGCCATTAATGCTATAATGTGTGACTGTAAAGTACTTAGTATTAGTACTCAAAACTAAATTTGAATCATGCAGCTTTTGGATAATAAAGATTTTTCCTTTTTAAAACTAAAGGCACACCCAGACACATACACCCCCACCCCCAACCCCACCCCCACAGAGCAACTATTTGAATATTTACCTTTCAAGGATCTCATAGTCACTCTCCAATTTATAGAGGGCTGACAATCTGGCTTCCATTAAAATGAGCAATTTTCCTCTGGCAACATCTATGAGAACAAGGAAAAACATGGACATGGGTGATATTCTGTATTTGGCTGATTCTAAAGACATGCATCAAGCGTACTTTTTTCCCGAGGAGCCCCTGTATCATGTGTCTCTAGTGTTCCCAATACTCACAGAGAAATAATGCAAAGAACACTAAGGTATACTGCTTTCCAAACACGAAAATGACAAAAACACCAAATGCACTCAGGCAGTGGGTAGTTATTATCACTCTGATATCCATTTTAATTATTCTTTATTTTCTCCTTCATAAGGTAAATATGTGAATGTTTAAAAATAACATTGACAAAGTAGCTCACAAAGTAAGTGCCATGTAATATCACCCCCTCTCAGACACTCTCATTTGGGCATTTATTGATCCAGATATCTTTCTATGTATATAATAACAAACACATATGCAAATATGTACATTCCTTTTATTTTTATTTTTAAATTAAGGTAATATTCTATCTGGTTTTACAAGTTTTCACTTAATATCCTGTCAACATTCTTCCAAATATTAGCACATACAGACTTTTCTCCCTGTTTTAAAGAACTCTGTGGGACCCCATTTTATATGATTATGAGTTATTTCTAACAAGCTGACAGTCATTTAAATTCCTTTCAAATTTTCACTACTATGAACACTGGGATAATGAATGTCCTTGATGTATCTGTGAACCCTTATTGTTAGTGTTTCTAGAGGATACCTAGGGCATCCTAGAAAAGAAAAGCTAAAGCAAATGTATGAACAATTAAAACTGAAGAGAAAATCTGGGCCAATTTGAATTCCCACCCGTAAGTTATGATATTACATATCTGAAATTTACTAGAGCTTATGTCATATATTTAGTTCACTATAAGAAAAATGGGTATTTATGGGGCACTGCAAAAGCCAGGCCTCTCTGTGGCCAACAGCTCTTTCCAGTAGGTCAACTCCTGGTCCTATCTGCTCCCAGGAAAGAACAAATAAAAAACTCCCTCTGTCCCTTTTTTCTGACAATCGATCTTTTCCCATTCCTTTCTCACTATTTTTTCCTTGCCAGCACAATCTACTGTTCAATCAAGTCGACTGTTTTAATACAACTATTTAAAAGGATCATTGCAACCATTTTTTTTTTTTTTTTTTTTTTTTTTTTGAGAGGGGGTTTCGCTTTTTTTACCCAGGCTGGAGTGCAATGGCGCGATCTCAGCTCACCGCAACCTCCGCCTCCTGGGTTCAGGCAATTCTCCTGCCTCAGCCTCCTGAGTAGCTGGGATTACAGGCACATGCCACCATGCCCAGCTAATTTTTTGTAGTTTTAGTAGAGACGGGGTTTCACCATGTTGACCAGGATGGTCTTGATCTCTTGACCTCGTGATCCACCCGCCTCGGCCTCCCAAAGTGCTGGGATTACAGGCGTGAGCCATCGCGACAACTATTATTAAACAGCATTAAACACATCTACACTGTTGTGTAATCATCACTACTATCAATACCCCAAACCTTTTCATTTTCCTGTACTGAAACTCTGTACCCATCAAACAGCTCCCCCTTCCCTCCCAGTCTCTGTCAACCACCATTCTACTACTTTTTGCTCTCTGAATTTCACTTCTTGATACCTCATATATGAATCATGTAGTATCTGCACTTTGGCGTCTGGCTCATTTTAATTAGCATAATGTAATCCAGGTTCATCCAAGGCATAGCCTGTATCAGAATTTCCTTTCTTTTTTAGGCCGGGTATTATTCCATTGTATGTAAATACTGTATTTGGTTTATTCATTTATCCAATGATAGACACTTGGGTTCCTTCTATCTTTTGACTATTGTGCATAATGCTACATGAATATGGGTATAGAAGTATCTGTTCAAAACTGCTTTCAATTCTTTGGGGAAAACACCCAGAAGTGAAATTGCTGGGCCACAGTGTAATTCTGTTCAGCTTTTTGAAGAAAGGCTGCTGTTTTCCATAGCAGCTGCACCACAGCTTTTTTTTACTGGCAACAAGTTTTTCTTTTCTTCTCCTGTTGCCTCCACAAAACTATCCAAACCTGAAGGTATATTTGTTCACAAAGCACCAATCTTCTTTTCAAATCTCTACGGAAAGGCCCTCATTGAAACTGGTAACTTTCTACCAGAGGACATTTGAAAGGCAAAAGTTCTCAAGTTCTGGTACCAATTACTAGTAATAATGTGATACCACATAGCTGAATCTTAGATTCTTCATCTGTCATGGGGCATGGTGTGGAAAAACATATTATAGCCTGGAAATTTTAAGAAAACTTTATGTTCTACTTTTTATATTTCTGTACTATTTTAGGTGTTGTGTTGGTTTTCAATTAGAAATGAAAACAGGCTGGGTGTGGTGGCTCACTCCTGTAATCCCAGCACTTTGGGGAGGCCAAGGCAGGCAGATCATGAGGTCAAAAGATCAAGCCCATCCTGGCCAACAAGGTAAAACCCCATCTCTACTAAAAATACAAAAATTGGCTGGGTGTGGTGGTGGATGCCTATAGCTACTTGGGAGGCTGAGGCAGGAGAATTGCTTGAACCCGGGAAGCAGAGGTTGCAGTGAGCCAAGATTGCACCACGGCACTCCGGCCTGGCGATAGAGTGGGACTCTGTCTCAAAAAAGAAAAAGAAAAAGAAAAAAAGAAAAATCATTTTTCCAATTAAGTAAGATTCTTTTCAAATAATTCTATTCTTCATGCAAAAAGAAAGGTAAGCCTTCATATTTTCCAAAATATAAAATTATCATATGCATATTAATCATAAATAACCAGCATCCCCCCACTTACCTTTAATCTTCACATATTGCATTTCTGGATTAACACAGACGGCAAGATTACTAGGCAGAGTCCAGGGAGTGGTTGTCCAAGCAACTAAAGATACAGTTTCATCTTCTTCCAAAGGGAAAGTTACAAATACTGAAGGGTCTTGAACATCCTGAAATAAATTGAGGTATTGTTTTACAAATCCACAATGACAGACACCTAAGAAAAAGGAACTGATCCTAAAGATAAATCTTCAGGATAAACTGAAGAAATCACTTGCCACACTTATAAAAGTAAAGTAGCAAGAAATTCCAAGTAAAAACATTTTTAAAAACTTTAAAAAGTATATTTAAAAGCATATTTAATTGTCACAAATTAAATATTTTAAGACACCTGGTGACTGTTTATTTTTTTTGACATGGAGTCTCCCTCTGTCACTTAGGCTAGAGTGCTGTGGTACCATCTTGGCTCACTGCAGCCTTCGCCTCCTGGGTTCAAGTGATTCTTGTGCCTCAGCCTCCCAAGTACCTGAAATTACAGGCACATGCCACCACACTTAACTAATTTTTATATTTTTAGTAGAGATGGGGTTATTCTATGTTGGTCAGGCTGGTCTCAAACTCCTGACCTCAAGTGATCCACCTGCCACATCCTCCCATAATGCTGGGATTACAGGTATGGGCCACCATGCCTGGCCTCTGGTAACTTTTTAAAGTAATGTCTAAAGAGGAACATACGATGGGAGGTTTCAGTATTATGATTATCTATTTTGTAAGTCCATGAAGAGGTAGGTCTAAAAGATCCTACTAAAGCAACATGTACTTGAAACTGTAATAAACCCATATAAATTCAGCTCATTAAATAAAAAAACAAGATTGTCTCCAGCTCGCTGGCAATGTTTCAACACAAAAAGTGTCAAGGATTTAAAAATAAATAGCTCTAAAAAAATCAGTCCCAGACAAAAACCAACCGCAATTTAAATAAAGTGACACAAGAGCTGTTGGTCACACAAGAGAAACCTGAAATAAGGGACACTACTATTGGCCTGTACCTCCTCAAATGTGTCAGTATTATGAAGCATAAAGAGACTAAGGAGCTGTTTGAGATTAAAGGCTGGAGACATATCACTGCCAGAAGCACACAATGTAGGTCTTTTTTGTTTCTTTTCTTTCTCTCTCTCTCTCTCTCTTTTTTTTTTTAAACTATAAAGGACACTGCTGAGACAAGCAGAACCTGAATAAGATCTATACATGAGGTAATACAGTATCAATGTTAATTTTCTAACTCTAGTTATTTAAAACAATGTTACTGATTTTAGGAAATACGTAGTTTTCATAGGAAAAGGGCCATAATTCCTGCAAATTACTCTCAAAGGGTACTGTGCCCCACTCCTATAAAAAGAGAGAAGGATAAAGCAAATGTGGCAAAAGATTAACATTTAGGGAATCTAGTTGAAGGAGATAAAGAACTCTCTCCAGTTTTCTGTGAGTTTGAAAATATGTCAAAATTAAAATTTTTTTCTTGGTCAAAACAAGCAAAACCTATTACATTAAGATACATCATAAATCCAATGTAGAAAACAAATCCCTCATCTTAACAGAGCTTTAGTATAGTAACTGGCAATATTTTCAGCATTCAGTAATAAGAGGTCAAAGTGACTGATGGCATGGGCACGTTCCACACCAGGTCTACTTGGGAGTACCTACTATGATCATAACCATTCAACTTCTACCTACAAAGCTCAATGCTGAATAATGTCTCTACGTTTCACGTACCTTATAATTCTGGTGTGACTCAAAGTTGGAAAGTGGAGTGTTACATGCAGTAGAGAAGGGCATGACTTTCACACCTCTATAAACAAGGCCTTTATCATAGAGTTGTTTGAAGACCCACCTGATAAGAGATGGAGTTTCACAATTATATAACCAAAATTCTATTTCTGAAAATGCAAACATTTATGCCATTTTCTGTTTAGAGTGTCTGTCTGCCAAATAAGTGAAAAAACAATGTCTTTCATTGGGAGACTAGCTGGTAAATTAGGTCAATACAGTAAGACATTAGGCAGACATTACAATGCTAATATCTACTAACATTGAATGATGTTTAAAACATAACGTTGATTAAGAAAAGCAATTGGCAGGCCGGGCGGAGTGGCTCACAGCTGTAATTCCAGCACTCCTGGAGGCCGAGGCATGTGGCTCACCTAGGTTAGGAGCTCAAGACCAGCCTGGCCAACATGGTGACACCCCATCTCTACTAAAAATACAAAAATTAGCCGGGAGCAGGGGTGTCTATAATCCTAACTACCCAGGAGACTGAGGGAGGAGATTCGCTTGAACCCAGGAGGCAGAGGTTGCAGTGCGCCAAGATCATGCCATCACACTCCAGTCTGGGCAACAGAGCCAGACTCGGTCTCAAAAAAATAAAAGTCCTACATTCAACAACAAACCTATTCCCAAAGATTTCGGAGACATAACGATGGACTCAAAAATAAACTGATTCATGCTAGTGAACTTTTCCAACAACCAATACAACAGAATATTCATAGAATATTTATCATATTTACAATTTTAAATAAACCTACCAGACACTTTCCATGAATTCTGGATACAGAGTTTTGTAGTCATTGTCAAAGTCAATCCATCGGCCAAGTCTGGTAACTGTAGACTTTAAAATATTAATATAGAACAGTATTAGACAACATTAATTGTACATCAATGTGTATTTACTTGTATTGTCACCACATATGGAAATTTTGGGAAAACAGAATAATCAACGGTATGAGTGAATCTATATTGCAAACAACATTCTATGTAAGGTTAAGAACCAGTTTTCTTGGCACTCGTTCTTCATGCATAAAATGTTATTTGTAAGTATAAATACTCATTTATACGAGGCTACCAAAACCACCACTTGGCAAATACCACAGGCATAATTATTGCTGGCACAAATCATTCATGGATGTTAACATTAATGAGTGAATGTATGACAAGGAAAAGAATATTTGGGGCCGGGCGTGGTGGCTCACACCTGTAATCCAAGCACTTTGGAGGCCAAGGAGGGCAGATCACCTGAGGTCGGGAGTTCAAGACCAGCCTGACCAACATTGTGAAACCCCATCTTAAAAAAAAAAAAAAAAAAAAAGAATATTTGGAAAGAATCTCCCCATAAGATACTTATTAATTACAAGGGAAAAACTACAACTTTACAAAGCAGGCTGATAGATAGCACCTTAATCAAGTGAACAAAGTTATCACCATCAATGGACATAGCAATGATACACGCCACCTGATACTACGCACTGAGAAGGGCATAGCATCACTTCTGTGGCATTCTCACCAAAAATGCATAACCTAAATTAAATCAGGAAACCTCAGACATTGAGAGACATTCTATAAAATAGCTGCTCTGCAATCTTCAGAAATGAGAAGGCCATGAAAGACAAAGGACTGAATAAAATATCCCATACTTAAGAAGACGAAGAAATCATGACAACTAAATGCAATATGTGACTGGACCAAATAAAAATTAATGGGGCAATTGCTTTTGAAAATTCTATTAATACTACAGTTATTGAAGATGTTAGCAGTTAGGAAAGAAGGATGAAAGATATAGGGGAATTAATCTTATTTTTGCAATTGTTTAATAAGTCAAATTATTTCAAAATAAAAAGTTAAAAAAATTTCAAAAGTATTTGAGAAAAAAAGAAGAGGCCCATATCCATGTTATACTTATCAGAATTTTTCCCTATTGGTGATCAGTCAAGAAAGGTAGACCAATTAAGCACACGGAAGTCAGAAAATGTTTCAGTTTAAGCTAACAGTTTTTCTACAAAGAAAAAATTAATAAATAAAAAAAGCACAAGGGACCATAAACCATCTCAATGCCCATTTAATAACTACATTTTCTGTTCATTCTACTGACAATAACCCAACATACCTTCCACTCAGTAGAATATCTCATTACAATTGCTCGGCACTGACTGTTATATTCTGTAATCCCCATTTTGGCCACATCCTCTGGTCCTCTGATTCCCAGTGTCTTATCAATTTCATATTCCTGAAAATTTGTGATAAGATTGTTACCACTGTGCCCCATGAAACAACTGCAACTATGCAACTCTAGAAAATAAAACAAATCGAACTACAAATATAGAAATGAAGTAGAAGAAAAGGTCTACAGTTAACATTTGTATTTAACATATTATATGATGAAATCTAATGCTTATAAAAAAATCAGAACATTATACAGCTGGATACTCAAACATACCACAGGTAAGCCATGACAATCCCATCCAAATCTTCTGTCAACATGAAACCCACTCTGGTGAGCATATCTTGTAACTATATCTTTAATTGTCCCTGCAAGTATATGTCCATAGTGAGGCAGTCCAGTTGCAAAAGGAGGACCATCATAGAAAGTAAATCTAAGAGGTAATAAAAATATATCAAGTCACTTAAAAACAGCAAAAATTTAAAGCATTTTTCTATAGATAGCTTTTGGCATAGTGAAGTCTTTTTGGAAGGAGAAAAGCAGCAAGACCAGAGAATTGGCAAAGATAATTGATTAGATATTTACTGGTGGTCCTGCCTTCAGAAAGGCTACAATTGTGGTAGAGCTGCAGAGACCTCCCTTTGATTATCCATTTTTCATTTATTAGTTCCATGATGTAAGGTAAGTTATTTATCCTGATCTTGAGTTATCTCATCAGTAAAATAGAGCAATAAACCCCTATCTCATAAAGTTTTTGACCAGAGGAGACATATAATGAAAACAGTGATTAAAGGGCTAGTCTTTTAGGTAAATGAAGACTAAAGGCAGAAGGCACTATAGTAGCCTTCTACAGGGTACTTATTCATTCAATGTATATAGCTACTACTGAATACCCACTATATAAAGGGCTGGAGGATTCTGGGAATACAAAGATGAGTAAAGAATAACTGCTTTAGGCCTTGAGTGGTGGCTCATGCCTGTAATCCCAGCACTTTGAGAGGCCCAGGCAGATGGATCACTTGAGGTCAGGAATTTGAGAGCAGCCTGGGCAACATGGTGAAATTCTGTTTCTACTAAAAATACAAAAATTAGCTGGGCATGGTGGCGGGTACCTGTAATCTCAGCTACTTGGGAGGCTGAGGCAGGAGAATCACTTGCATCCAGGAGGTGGAGGTTACAGTGAGCAGAGATCACATCACTGCACTCCAACCTGGACAACAGAGCAAGACTCCATCTCAAAGGAAAAAAAAAAAAAAAAAAAAAAAAAAAAGAGTATCTGTTTTAATGGGATTCAGTTTAAGAAATAACTATTTTTTTTTTTTTTTGAGATGGAGTCTTGCTCTGTCACCAGGCTGGAATGCAGTGGCAATCTCGGCTCACTGCAATCTCCGCCTCCTGGGTTCAAGCGATTCTTCCACCTCAGCCTCCCGAGGAGCTGGGACCACAGGCACGTGCCACCACGCCTGGCTAATTTTTTTGTATTTTTAGTAGAGACGGGGTTTCACCATGTTGGCCAGGATGGTCTCGATCTCTTGGCCTCGTGATCCACCCGCCTCGACCTCCCAAAGTGCTGGGATTACAGGCGTGAGCCACCGCACCCGGCCCAAGAAATAACAATTCTTAAGGACTTTCCCTTTACCTAAGAAATTCACATACTTTGGTTTATGTTTCGATTGCTTTAAGCATTCCTGAAAACAATTAAATTTAGTCCAAAACTCCAAGATTTTTTCTTCTTCAGCAGGAAAATTTATGTTTTCTGGAACTTGTTGAACCATTTTGTTGCTGTAAAAGAAATCAAATTTGTTACTGTCAAAAGAGAAATCTAGGAATAACAGAGTACCATATTATTAACATGGGCGTATGTAGATGACACTATCCATATTTTTAAAAAATTATAGCTTTATTGATGTACAATTTACATACTGTAATGTACAGTGTACAATTCAGTGGCTTTTCAGTATATTTACAAGGTAGTATAATTATTACTATTATCTAATTTTTTTGATGTTCATTATATTATTTACTGTAGTGAAAATGTGTCAAAAATTAATTGTTCAACAATAAGAGAACAGTTATTAAATACATGATACTTTTATATTTCAAAGAGAAGTTAACAAAATTGGAAAAATTCATCAAAAATATGGAACTCTTCACAAATATGCACGTCATCCTTGTGCAGGGGCCATGCTAATCTTCTCTGTATCATTCCAATTTTAGTATATGTGCTGCCGAAGTGAGTACTACTACTATGTAATTTCAAAATGTTTTCAACCTCCCCTCCCCACCAAAGTACCCCATAACCATTAGCAGTCACTCCCCATTCTTTCTTCTCCATAGCCAGTAGCAACAACTTATCTTCTTTCTGCTTCTATAGATTTACCTATCCTGGACATTTCATATGAATGGAAAAATTTGTATAAATCATCTATATGTGGCCTATTGCAATTGGTTGCCTTTCTCTAGCACATTTTCAAGGTTCATCCACACTGTAATATGTATTCATACTTTATTACTTTTGATAGCTGAGTAGTATTCCATTTCATGAATATGCCACATTTTGTTTATCCATTTATCATTTCTTGGATACCTGTATTGTTTCTGCTTTTCGGTTATTGTGAATAATGCTGCTAGGAACATTCATGTACAAAATTTTGTGTGGATCTACGTTTTATTTCTCTTGGGTATGTAGCTAGAGGCAGAATTTCTGGGTCACATGATAATTCTGTATTTAACTTTTTGAGAAAATGCCAAAATGTTTTCCAAGGTGACTGTACTATTTTACATTCCCTCAGCAGTGAATAAGGATTCTAATGTCTTTATATCCTACCTAACACATCTTATTGTCCATCTTTGGATTACAGTCATCCTAGGAGATGTTAAATAGTATCTTGAGGTTTTGATTTGCATTTCCCTGAAGACTAATGATACTGAGCGTCTTTCCATGTGCTTATTGGCCATTTGTGTATCCACTTTGGATAGATATTTATTTATCCTTTGCCTATTTTCTAATTAGGCTGTCTTTTTATGGTTGAGTTTTAAGGGTTATTTATACATTCTGGATACAAATCCTTTAGAAGATATATGATTTGTAAAAAGCTTCTCTTATTCTGTGGGCTATCTTTTTATTTTAGTGATGGTATTTTTGAAACACAAAAATTTTTACTTTTAATGATGCTCAATTTGTCTATTTTTGGTTTTGTTGCTTAAGCTTTTGGTGTCATCTAATAAACTATTACCTAAAGAAGGTTACAGACTTTTAGCTTACATTTAGACCAAGAATCATATTGAGTTATTTTTGTATACGGTGAGGGAAAGGTACTTGGTATTACTTAATATTCAGTAACGCTAGACAATATTTCCAAAAGTAAGCAAGAAAATCTTGGAAATTCCATCTGATGGTACAAAAACTCTTAACAATCTGAAGAAAAAAATCTCAAAGTAACTAAGAATTTTCTTACCTACACTCACATAACAGAAATCAGTTCTCTTGAAATAACTTCATCTTCTCTTTGAGGAAAACTGGTATAACTTTAAAAATCTTAAAAAGATGAGAATCTTACATTCGAATATAGATTCCAATTTTCCATTTTACCCTTTTTATTTCTTATTCATGATTTTTATGAAGGATAAGTTTAGTCTCTAGTGAGAAGGCTTAAGGTGTCTTTTAAACATTTTGCTAATAACCTCATTCAGACACTTGATCAATCTGTGTTTAAGTATCTAGTGAGCTGACTTAAGCATCTAGTGAGCATCCTTGAGACCTTTCCTTCCCAAAGTCTATTTAATTTTTAATTAATAATTCTAACAAGGTGGGTGCAAGATTTCCAAGTCAACAGCAGATTAGAAGGGAATAGAATTGCTAAGAAGAGAACAGAGAAGATAAAAAACCTTAAGTACTCAAGAACCACAACAGTCCAGGGTAATCAACTCTACAGGAAAAGGCACCTACTTACCTCAAACAGTTCTGAAAGCATCAAAAGCATCATAGTCTAAGCAAGTTATTGATTCAAGTTATTAAAAAAAAAAAAAAGTCTGTGACAAGTAATATCTTTCATTTTCTTTCACCTTCATTAAATTTTCAGGTGTATGAGTGCTTCTGAGTTTAATTTAAGAAAAAACAGGGTAAGAACAGTTGGGCTGTTTGATTAACTGAAATAGCTATTTCTGATCACAGTATACCATTAAAAAGTATTAAACAGAAATTGCAAGGTTTTAGATGTTCAACTCTTACTACAACCTCTAGCCTTTCAAGGATCAAAAGAAGTGTTTGTGCAATTACTGATTTATTTACATACATTGGGTACCTTATCAGAGGCCAACTGAAACTTATAAGATTGTTATCTGAAGACTAACAGACCTTTAGATATCAACACATTCGTTCATCACTTCTAAGACCTTTGTCACTTCTTCAAGGCTGGTCCTACAATGGCCCACATCCATGGGAGCTTTTTTTTTTTGGACAGAGTCTTGCTCTGTTGCCCAGGCTGGAGTACAGTGGTGCAATTTTGGCTCCCTGCAACCGCTGCCTCCTGGGTTCAAGCAATTTTCCTGCCTCAGCTTCCTGCCTCAGATTACAGGTGTACACCACCATGCCCAGCTAATTTTTGTATTATTTTAGTAGAGACAGGGTTTCACCATGTTGGCCAGGCTGGCCTGGAACGTCTGACCTTGTGATCTGCTTGCCTCAGCCTCCCAAAGGGCTGGGACTATGGGTGTGAGCCAACGTGCCCAGCCTATGGGAGCTTATTACAGATGGAGACTTAGCAGCCTCACCTTGCACGTAGGAGTCAGAACCTGCATTTTAACAAGATCCCTAGGGAATGAAAATTCACATCAAAGTCTGAACATCACCACCCTTGCACTGTTCTGACAATTATTCAGGAATGTCTATCTGAATTTTTGTTTTTCAGAAAATGAGATTTAAGCTTTCTGAGAAGAGGGCCATAACTTTTTTTTTTTTTCCCAGACAGTGTCTCACTCTGTCACCCAGCCAGGAGTGCAGTGATACAATCATGGCTCACAGCAGCCTTGACCTCCCTGGGCTTGGGTGATCCTCCCAGCTTAGTCTCCCAAGTAGCTAAGACTTCAGGTGTGCACCACCACACTCAGTTTTTTGTGTGTGTTTGTTCGTTTCGTATTCTTTGTAGAGACAGGGTTTTGCCATGTTGCCCATGTCTTCAGTTCCTGGGCTTAAATGATCCTCTTGCCTCGGCCTCCAAATGTGCTGGGGTTACAGGCATGAGCCACTGTGCCTCGCCAGCTCATTCAGTTTTTACAGTGTTTTTTAGGGAATCTCTGCTTTCCCCCGAAAATTAGAAATCACTGCACTATTATGCCAAGCATAAAGACTCAGTATAACAGCATTAACTATTCAGGAAGAACCATGTTCCAGTGACCGGGCTATGGCGGCCGCTCAGGAGAAGCAGCCTCCATGCATAAATCACAGGATTGCTATGGCCCATCGTATCCACCGGAGAGCTGCACATACACAACAGCATCCAGCAACCACAGGGCAGGGGACAAGGTAGGTTAACCGTGCCAAGTTGTGCAGAGGGATGTCATCCCCTTCGCTTCGTTCTTATAATCCAGGCCCTTCATTCTTCCCTGTGCCACAACTCCTTCAGGCCACCTTAACCTCAACTTCCTGTTCAGTAATTTCGAGACCACCCTCCTTGACATTCACTTCAAATTATTCACATTCTCTTTATAGTATTTACCCTCAGTATATTTTGGAAACGCACACTAAAACCATTGTTTTGTTTAAAATTTCATAATCTTTCTTTCCACAGTTGCTTCCCTTTTTAACTCTACCGTATTAGAGTTAATATCCAATATTCTTCCCATTATCTAAGCAATGCATTTCTGAGTCACCCTAACACTACTCCGAAGACAGACATAATCATCAAGTCACATGGATTCTACCTAGAAGTCTATTTCTTTTCCATTCTCCTCTAAATCCATTTCTGTTTCCCCTTTTTATTCTCAGGTCTTCATAATTATGTCAAATGTAACCTCAAGGTGGGACCATTTCAAACCTTTCCTCAATTTAGTTATATCCTATGAACATATGCTCCACAGATATACTCACGCAAATGTACAAAATACGTATGCAGTGACATTCACCGAATAATTGTTTCTACAGGCAAGTAACTGAAAACAATTTAAATATTCATGGTGACAAGTAAATTACGGTACATCGATAAAATAATCATGCAGCCGTTAAAGGCAATAAACTAAGACATATAAAAATACGTATTACCTATACATAAAGTCACAGCTGTACCAATTTATACTATGTATAATGTTTCCTATCCAAGATTTTACTCATTTCAAACACCACCTCATTAAAAAAAGGCGACCATAAACTCAATAAGGCTGGAAATTAACGAAAGGAAAGCCCTGAAGAAGCGCGTTCTTTCAAAAATTAAATCGTGTGCTACTGTTTTGGGGTTGTAACGCGTGTGTGCCCCTCGCCTTTGAGGGCCGGATACTGCAGGGAAGAATGGGTGTACCCCAGGGTCCCCGCGTACCTGGATAGCCACGCGGGCCAGCAAGTCTAGTAGCAATCCCGCCGACAAGAGAGCGGTGAGCCGGCGCGCGGAGGTGATGCAACGCGCTGACAACGCGAGATCGAGGGAAGAAGGCTGGCTCCGCATCGGCCAATCAGTACGCGCTGTCTGACACCTACCAACAAGCCAGGCGGCTATTCGTTGCGCCGGACCTTACTACGCCCTCTCGTCCGGATGGTGCGATCGTTATACTTGCCGGTTTTGCGGCTCCCCTTGGAATACGAACCCGCGCTGAGCGCTGGGCTGGGTTGCCGCGTTGGTGCTGCTGGTATCCGTTCCAATAGTGTAGACCGAGGTCGCACTCGGGTTGTGGGCACCTCTGAGTAGGTGGAGGCCCACTGGGAAGCAGCAGCGAGGTCGGCGCCCTTTTTTTTTTTTTTTTTTGAGACGCAGTTTCGCTCATGTTACCCAGGCTGGAGTGCAATGGCGCAATCTCGGCTCACCGCAACCTCCACCTCCTGGGTTCAGGCAATTCTCCTGCCTCAGCCTCCTGAGTAGCTGAGATTACAGGCACGCACCACCATGCCCAGCTAATTTTTTGTATTTTTAGTAGAGACGGGGTTTCACCATGTTGACCAGGGTGGTCTCGATCTCTTGACCTCTTGATCCACTCGCCTCGGCCTCCCAAAGTGCTGGGATTACAAGCATGAGCCACCGCGCCCGCCCCTCATGTTCTTTATCTTGTTTACATTTGTCAGTATTTATCTGACTGGACTCTTCGTACCTAAAATTCATATCGACAAACAGCAACTTCCGGAGAGGTGACTTCAATAATTATACTTTTGGGCCCGGAGCTGGTGACCCCAAAGTCGCTTCTCTTATCATAAATGGCCATGTGAAATGATAAAAGAGAAGGAAGAGCCTGACAACCAGGTTTAAAAGTTTTATTGCAGGCCGGGCGCAGTGGCTCACGCCTGTAATCCCAGCACTCTGGGAGGCCGAGGCGGGCGGATCACCTGAGGTCGGGAGTTCAAGACCAGCCTGACCAACATGGTGAAACCCCCGTATTTAAAAAAAAAAAAAAAAAAGTTTTATTGCATTTTGTCTAAAATGTTATCTGTAATGAAAATTTGCATACTTAAACAATTTTTTTTTTTTTTTTTTTTTGAGAAGGGTCTCATTCTGTCGCCAGGCTGGAGTGCAGTGGCACGGTCTCGGCTTACTGCAGCCTCGACCTCCCCGAGGTCAGATGATCCTCGCACCCCATCCCCGACCAAGTAGCTGGGACTACAGGCTAGTGCCACCACGCCCCGCTCTTTGTATTTTCTGTAGTAATGGAGTCTTGTTATGTTGTCTAGGCTACTCTCAAACTCGTGGACTCAAGCGATCTGCTTGCCTCAGCCTCCCTAAGTGTTGTGATTACGGGCATGAGCCAGTGCGCCCGGCCTGCATACTTAGGATTGCTGTGAGTCTGATTGGTACCTTACGGATCTGCTGATCAAAATCTGGAGCCTTGCAAAGAGCAGCAGGCCTCAGGCTTTGGCACCAGAGCCTCTAAAGGAAATTCTGGATCTTGCCAAATTGGGAGTAGTTCTGTAACTGCCTATTGTACCCATTTGAGGGATATAAAAAATCGATCTGGCCTAGAATAGGTAGAATGCAGTTTCTTAGTAAGTTTAGGAAGATTTTGATAGTCTGTTCAGCATATATTAAACTTTACTTACTGTCTTGGCCCAGTGTGAAGGATTAAAGGGGTTTCATGTTCTCCATCACAGGGGTAACTCAATGTTCTATGACTTTACTCATTTGAACATAAATTTAGTAGCTGCAGAACTAATTAACTGAAAATATTTGCAATGTATTTGTTTTCACATTCCTAATGTTGCCTCCTTGTTGTTACCTGTCCAGAGAGCCCAGATTAGGGCCAGACAGAGGGCTCCTGGACAAATGTAAGGTAGGCTGACAAGTCTAAATATTTAAAAATTGGATTGAGAAACATTTATATTAATAGTACTGTTGGAAAGTATGGGAAGACTAAGTCTAGAAAAAAGTTAAGCACTTGAAAAAAATTCCAGTAAAAAAGTTAATTGTAGTCAAAATATATTATTTGGACTGAAAAGGTGAATAATTTTTTCACCTCTTCAGAATATGTAGTATCTGAAAGTGAAAAACCAAGAAATCAGAGCATAAGCATGTTTTATTGTATTTTGTTTAAAATGTTTCCTGTAATGTAAACATTGCATACTTAATTTTTTTTTCTTTTGAGAAGGGGACTCATTCTGTTGCTAACGTTGGAGTGTAGTGGTATGGTCGTGGCTCTCTGCAGCCTCAACACTCCCTGGGGTCAGATGATCCTTGCACTTCATCGCTGACCAACTGGCTAGAACTACAGGCTAGCGCCACCACGCCCGGCTAATTTTTCTATTTTCTGTAGTAATGGAGTCTTGCTATGTTGCCTAGGCTGCTCTCAAACTCGTGGGCTCAAGCAATCTGCCTGCCTCAGCCTCCCTAAATGTGACTATAGGCATGAGCCAGTGCGCCTGGCCTGCATATTTATTATCATTGCTGTGAGTCTGCGTAAATACTAGAGAAATTAAATTGCTGAAGGTAGGAACATGGAGATAAATGATAGAGAAATTAAATTGAAGGTGGTTTTATCTGGGGAGCAGGAACTGGGGGTAGGCTAGGCTGCTTGACGTTACTTCTCGGCTTGTGGAGCATGTGCTGGATTTAAATTGTGGCCACACATTCTGACACTCCCCCACTGAGAAGTAAGGATCTGTGTCCCTTCCCTTTTATTCTGTTTGGGCTGTGTGTCAGTTTAAACCTGTAGAATACAGTGAAATGACTGAGCCAGTTTCTGGCCCAGGTCTTAAGAGACTGACGGCATCTGCTTCCTGCCCCTGAGAACATTTGCTCTTAGAGCTTTGTTGCCATGCTGTAAGGAAGCCCATGAACAGGCACTGAGTGGGCCATCTTAGAAGCAGATCCTGTAGCCATAGCTGAACCACCTCAATGAAAGCGCACGGAGCACAGATGAGCAGTCCCTAGTGAGTCTTGACCCAATTGCATTATTTGTGAGTAAAATAAATGATTGTTACGGAGATGATTTGCTATGCAGTAACAGAAAATAAGGTATAAATGTTATCTGTATCAAGAGAAGGTGGAATGTGTGAATTATTTATCCTGCTGCGTAGTTGTCCCCACTCTTCTTGAAGTCTGAAGTTTTGGAAACCTAGGAATCCAGAATGACTCTTGAAGCGACTTAGTTCCTTGGACCTTTATTAAAAATATATATATATACTGAGAACCCACTATGTACAGTACACAGTTGTAAGCACTAGGGACATAATGGTTAACATACTAGATGAAATCCCAACAGTTAAGAGTTTGTGGCCGGCTGCAGTGACTCATGTCTGTAATCCCAGCACTTTGGGAGGCTGAGGTGGGCGGATCACAAGGTCAAGAGATTGAGACCATCCTGGCCAACATGGTGAAACTCTGTCTCTACTAAAAAAATACAAAAATTAGCTGGGCATGGTGGCGTGTGCCTGTAGTCCCAGCTACTCAGGAGGCTGAGGCAGGAGAATTGCTTGAACCCAGGAGACGGAGATTGCAGTGAGCCAAGATTGCGCCACTGCACTCCAGCCTGGTGCCTGATAACAGAGCAAGACTCTGTCTCAAAAAAAAAAAAAAAGTTTATATTCAGCAGAGGTAAATCAATAAATACTAATTTTAGGTACACACATCATGGCTCAATGATACTACCTTGGAACTATGTAATACTATTTTTTTTTTTTTTTTTTTTTTTTAGATGGAGTCTTACTCTGTTGCCTAGGCTGGAGTGCAGTGATGTAATCTCAGCTCACTGCGACCCCCGCCTCCTGGGTTCAAGTGATTCTCCTCATACCTTATCCCCTACCAAGTCTCAATCTCCCTGTCTTAAGCCCCTGAGTAGCTGGGATTACAGGTGTGAGCCACCATGCCCAGCTAATTTTTTTATTTTTAGTAGCGATGGGGTTTCACCATGTTGGCCAGGCTGGTCTTGAACTCCTGACCTCAGGTACCTGCCTTAGCCTCCCAAAGCGCTGGGATTACTGGCATGAGCCACCGTGCCTAGCCTATGTAATACAGAGCCCATTTTGATAGGAGACATATGTGTTGAATTATAGGTAGGTTGGTTATTTAATGTAATATTAAATGTTTCCCTATTTGGGCTCAGGGAGAGTTCTGACTCCTAATTGTGACTACCCATCTTTCAGACACTTTGTATTTTTCATAAGCTTTTGGTCTAACTAGAATTTTGGGATGGCTTGCATCTAGCTGTTGTTCCCTAATTCCTAGAGGTCAATGACAATGTAACTCTGTATGTGGCTTCCTCTCCTGTTTCTCACAGAACTCTTATATGATGTAGGTCTGAAATGTCCTATATTTCAGTTAGCTATTCACCAAAACACAAGTATAAAACTCAATGTTGACTTGTAATTAATCAGTTTAAACAAAAATGACAAAATGGAAGGTGTATTTGACATAATTAGAAATAAACATTTCAAATAGCCTATAATTCACACAAAGCCTAGGCTGGAAACTACAAGTGCTTTGACCCATTTATTTAAAAAGGCTTAAAAAAAAAGGCTTCATGCAACCTTGACAAGACGATGTCCATTAATTACTCAAGATAGAGGGCAAAGAGAGTATATACAGGAAATATTTTCAAGGTCTGTCTTGTGCTTCCTTTTTAAGAAGTTGAATTTAATTTTTTGAAGTAATTACTTAGGAAGAAATGCGAGGAGTTCCATAGAAAAAGATGACAACCAGAATGATATTCCATCAGCCAGATTTTTAAACTTCCTTCACTCTGAAATTTCTTCTTTTGTTAGCTAAAACTATTTTCTGGGTCAGTTTTCTTAGGTGAGCCTTGTTCACATTCAGTATTAAAACCAATGCTGACATTTATTATTTTGGTTTCATTTTCCTTTTTGCATCTTTATGTTTCTTCCGACAATCCTTGAAGATCCAAAAAATAAAAGACTTTGTTAACAAACTTAAGTTGTTTTTAAGATGTTCAGTACATACAAGTAAAACTTAGGTTTATTCTCATTG